CTATCAAGCAACTAAAGGTTATCTCTCAGATAATCTCTCCATCAGTTAATACATAACTGTGCATTGAAAATTACCGCGAATACAGTATTCAACTATTTGAATCGTAGGCAGGCCGCTCCGAAGAAGACACGCACATATCATTGAATTATGAATAAAAATGCGGAGTCAATATTCACACCGATCTACATTACACTAATTATTATACTTGTGATATCTGGCTGTCGACCAAAGGGCGGGTGTACTGCTCAGCAGTTCGCTCTATCCTTTTCGATGGTTATGAGCGAGCGAGACATGGTTACTGAAAGTGGAAGACATGGAAAGGTCGGCTAACTGTCTTTGATCATAGGTGTCTGCGTTCTATATCCCATGTTAAGTGGTATAATAAGGTGAGCAATATGGAGGTTAGGCATCAGTCGAGTGATAGGTAAGGAGATGAAATCAACTGATGAGGTTGTGAAGTAACATCGATTGAGATAATTAGCGGATGTGTTACGCATGACTAAATATCCATCGCCTTCGTCGACAACAGGAAATGTTAGCTGATATACGATCAGACTGGAAAAGAGTTGGCTAGTGGTGTCAAACCAAAACACCGCTTTATCAGTCAATGAAATACATAACAGATAGTTTAAGCCAACTAGCCACGTAGGGAGGTGTAGACCCCTGCTTGGGGTTTTTAGGATGGTAAAAACCAATGACGGCTGGAGACAACTGGTTGTATGGCTCAAACTCCTCGTTGTCAGTTGGCTGGTGCAGATGCATTCATTCATTTCATTTCATTCAGGTGAAATGAAAATCTGAGCTGAGATACGATTCCAACCAGACGCCTCTGATAAGATACACTTTGCACCGATTTTTATTCTAAAAGCTCATTTAATTAATGTAATCCTAAAGCTTCTATATCTCTACTGTACGATTATCAGAAATGCATACTATATCATTACAGAGCATTATCAACCACCAATGGACTCAACACTGTATGTCGTCCACTTCACTGCCTACCGAGGCTGGCGTCCCTCAACTCACCTTTCTTTCTCCTTTTCTGTTTTCTTTGTTCTTGAGTGACTTGCCTCACTCTGATGAAATGAACTTTGTTAAGTATGCCGATGATCTAACTATTTCAATGTCTGTTAACTCCCAGCTTGACTGCACTAAGATGAACAACTTTCTATCAGGAATTAGCAAACGGTCTTCGTCTGATGGCCTTAAACTAAGTCCTTCCAAGTATCAGACTGTTAATTTCAGTTTCCGATGTAAAAGAAAGTTAAATGAATTTGTCGGTTTCTATGACCGTTGCGAAATTGATGATACTGATAAAGAAATCAAGTCTGAAGTTATGTATCTTGGATGAATTCTTTCTTCTGACCAATCCTGGTCTTCCCATGTCTTAGCGATTTCTAAAAGAATATTTCGTCTGACTTTTTACATTAAGAAGTTAAGGCATTCAGGCACTACCCAACACCTCCTCTTACAGTATTTCAACTCGTGCATCTTACCTATTCTTCTTTGTTGTTCACCCCTATTCTTTCCTGGATTACTTGAAAAAGATTATGTCATACTTCATAGAACCCTGAAGATTGTCAGTCAGTAGGGTGAGTGGTATCCCATTGGGCCACATCGTTGACATTGTTATTCATAGGCACTTTATGTCATGCAACAAATTTGCTAAAGGAATTTTGTCAGATTGTGAGCACCCACTTTACCCACAGCTTCAACCTTGTGTCTCGTCAGGTAAAACAAGAAGTCTTTTCAAAAGGCTTTATGCAAGTATGTCTAAGTATAAAAATTCCACTATACCATATTTGGCACGTAATTCATGAACTAACTAACCCTCTTTGCACTAACTAAATACACCATTTTCTCCACCTTCACAACATCAACCTTTAGTGTTATGGTATTTCTTATGTTTAGAATCCTCTCAATCTTTTGTTTTGATTTGTTAATTTTTTCCTAAGTGTGAATATCATTTAAGCTGTGTGAATAACTGTTAATTTTGTATTTCCCCTCACTATACTACATCAACAGAACATTAGATTCAATACTCTATAGTAACATGCTAAAATTTCCAAACTGAATCGACAATACAGTTTGAAACAAACTCACTGTTATTATTATCATAATTATTATTACTATTATTATTGCATTTAATATTCTCAATTCGTACTTCGAATATTTTTGCCCTTATATCGTAAATGTGGACAAATTCCTCTGGTTAATTTTGTTTTAATTTTTAATTTTATTTATATTTTAAGTAAATCAGATGCGAGGTGTTGTGACAAATGCTGAGAATTCCATTCTGTATTATAAGTACGGTTTTTGGAATAAAATAGATTATTATTATTATATCTAGTGGTAACTGGTACCATTCGTAACTGGTAAACCGTTAATGTGGTGATTTGAAATTTAGAACTAATGACTATGAAAACACTTAAGGAGTCGGTGAACAGAATTAACAGGCCCCTTTATTTTAAAAAGAAACCCCTGACTATAAGTCAGAAAGTAGAATTTACCTCCATGTCCAGTAGGTGCACGATTAACATTTGTCACAGCGCCGTTAGGAGAAAATACCGGCGTCGCAACTGTTGGACTAGACATCATCACTACCATATTTGATGATGATGACAATGATGATGAGTGTAATTCATTCCCTGTAGTCACTGAATCACGACGTGAAGTATTATTATGCGTCAAGTGGTCAAGATCCCGTGAAAGTGAATTTGATCTATTCCACATTTGATTGGTTAAATTTGATTGAGATGTAGCTGATGATAGTCGAGTAGTGCTAGACGACGATGATGACGATGCTGAAGCTGCTGCATAAATCTGTGCCCCATAACGTCGTACTTCAAGGGATAAAGCCAGAGTGATTACTTTTGGTCGAGCGAATGCAATTGCCCATAAAGCTTCACGTGCTGTACGCGCTAGATCGACTCGATCAGAGAGAAGTAGACGTGATGTATCACTTATAGAAAGAAAAAAAATAAACAAAAAGATGAAAAAAAACATAATCATAATAATAATAATACACAGATGATGCGAGATTAGTGTATACAGTAAACTCTAATAAGACACTATACAACAATCTACTAGAAATTATACCGTATAATTATGATTTGATAGAAGACCTAATAGAGAAGATTTGTAACTCAGCTGGTTGATTTTGATTTCGTTGTGTTCTCTAAACTGGTCCGTTTGATTCCGAAGCTTTGGCTGTCGTTCTAGGCAACATGCCTATCCAACGCAGGTTTTAATATAAAATGGATTTATTAGAATTCTCCGTGAATGATACAATTGGCTCCCGGCCAACATTGTTGTCACTGATTTTTGATCTACGTGTCGATTGATCATTTTTTTATTGACTTGGGATTCGAACTTTCTTGTCATGTGTGATTTACTTTACATTAGCTGGTGGTAAATTCGGTCTATAGTAATGTGTTTGTTAATTGCTGGATGATTCGTTTGACTACCAAGCTTCTAGGAATTCTCTGGCATCAATTTCGATAATTCCTCTGTTTAGGATTTCCACACTGCTAGCTGATATAGGTGAAGGTTGGAAAAGAGCCAGTGGTGGCCAAACAAAAACATGGCCTCATCAATCCATGAAATCCTTGACAGTTAAACTGAGTCAGGTAGGGAGATGCAAACTCCCGGGTTGGGGGCCTCGGGACTCTAGGAATCAATGACTGGAAACAATAGGTGACATGGCTCAAAATCGTTGTCAATGGCCAGCGCAAATGTATTCAGTCTCTGTAATCTTTCATATTCCTTTCTACCATTACCCATTCTGTTTCACTCTTATACTTGTCAAACTCTATTGATTCTCTTCACTCATTTTCTTGTCTACCTTTGTGTGCTATTTGGAACGTGGCAACTCGAACTGGTGCACTTCGGTGCCAAGTTCTATGTTGAATCCAGACAGACAGAGACAGGATTTCCACATTATCCCAATCAAACTGATGTGCATAATTATCTACATGCATTGATTGATATCAAAGAATATATATCGTATGTTTTTGCAGTTAATTCACATTCTTGGTTTCTGATTCGAAGAGGACGTCCACTTTGTTGACCGATGTAATGCCTGTTACACTTCATACAATTTATTTTGTAAATGCTGTTAATTTTATCTTCTTTTTCTGTTGAAATTTTTGGTTTGCACAATATAGAATGTTGTCTGTGTTGGCTGGCTTTTGTGCTATATCGATTTCAAACGGTTTCAATATTCTAGTTGTTATTTCAGAGATATTTTTTATATATGGTAGGATGAATTTTCCTGTTGTCATTGATGATGGTTCCTTGTTGGCGTTGTGATTCGATTTTAAACACCTTTTGGTGAAATTTTGTGGATGACTACTCTTTTCAAAGACGGTTAGGTGTTATTCATCCATTCTCTCCTGTCTTTAGGAACCACCTCTGGTTAAATGTATCACATATGTCACACACACATTCCATACTACTCAATTATAGACTTGTGTGCGTTTACGTATTGCATCAGTGGTTTAGAGTTGGATCATGGGCAACCACGCCACAGGTGGTCGAGGGTTAAATTCCCGATCGAAACACTACAAAACATCGATAAATCAGTAGTACGTTGTATAAAGACAGAAGGTTGGATGTAAGGCCGGTAACTCCACTACTACTATTATTATTATTCCCCTGGGTTTCGAGTGGAACATAGCACTTCAGTAACACATCTCCACTTCCGTCTATTTTATGCTGTCCTCTTCACCTGGGTCGACGACTGACCATAATCTCTCATCTCTTCCTCCTCGTCACACCATCTGCTCCATGTCACCCCTCACACTGACGACCACCCACTCGTCACTTCCCATTGAGATTCCTACTGGAGCAATGGTCTGTACTGAGCGCAATGTCATTCGACGGCCTCCTCAAGGTTTGCCCGACTCATCTCCACTATCTTCGCTTTCATATTTAATGAGCAATCGGCTCTCTGTTGGTTTGTTCCCCCACAGCGTTTCTTCTTGCTAACTCTTTCTGACCGGCCAGTTGGCCATTTGATCTTCTGTATAGAGCCAATGAAGGCAGATGCTGATAAAAGTCTGCAGTAGTCTATTGGAAATCTTTTTCAGCGAGTGTGCATACCACTTTTATGACCCGTACAGAGAAGCTTACTGACTGACTAACTAACTTGATATTTGTATTGAAAATTTGAATCTTGTTTTTCATGTTGGCTGGTTGAATGAAGCAGAAGGTTTCCCAAACTGGTTTCAGACAGATTAAGGCGTATCTTTCCTTTCCGATTCTGGTTGGCATTGGCTGACCAGCTTTGGCATCTTCATCCGTTCCGATTGCCTGTTGTTGAAACAATGCTTCCTAGATAAGTGAAGGAAAGAAGTAACCTCTGATAAATCTCTCCCGTTGATGGTGTGATTAGTACTGGTGTTCCTTGGTTATCTTCATCACCTCCGTCTTCTCTATATGTTCACCTGAAGTCCTGGCTTCACTACACTGCTTCTTCAGCCAACCCACTGTAACAACAGAAGACAAGGGCCAGGCAACAGATCGTTTTATTATGAAAATCAACACGTATTTATACATATTTCACATACATTATTATAGACAAGCGCAGTCATCTGATTGGTTGTTTATCAGAAGTTAGGCAGACAAACGCAGGCTTCTGATTGGTTGTTTCGGGATGCCTTGACAAATAGAGTTCTCTATCTGCGAATCATATTTTGCCACGTTAACTTTGCTGTGATTGGTTGTTGACTCAGCCTTGTTCATATTTTCTCACGTAGCTTAGTGTCAACCAATCGGCTAGCAGCCTGCTCTCACCACACCACTACTACTAGTACTCCTGAAACTTCAGAGCTCAAGCTTGAAGATTTATGTTCCACTCAAAATGCACAGAAATGATTGAATAAAGTCACATTTTAGTCAATATCAATACGATAGTGTAGCCGTTTGAAAATACGCTTTAATGCAATACTACACAATAAGTAAAGGCAGCAATACAAACAAAAAAGGCAAAACTACCTTGACATTAATAATTCTGCATCAGCAGCTAATAACAGAAGAGCATTAATCACTTGACTAACATCAACATACGGTTCCCAAACAGGAAATCCTCGACCCAATAAATCGATTGCAGCACGTCTTAGTGTACTGTTCACATTTGATGTCAGTAATGTAATCAAGGCATTTGCAGCATAAACAGGCAATGGTTCAACATGACTGCCAACAATCTGTTCATTCAACTTTCGCCAATTCACTTCAGGATAACTACCATCTGTAGGCAGTAGGGTTGGATAACCTGAAGAAAAATAAAATTAAAATAATCAATAAACCATACAGAAAAATAATATAACGCAGAAAAACCTGATACAATACGGCACCAAGAAGATGCACCACACAATAATAATAAAATAACATTGATTAAAAGTAAAAAATATCGGTGGAGAACGAATAAAAAACTTCATCTGGAAGAAAAACAGTCATATTTAACAAGTTCAAACAGCATTCATCAAATATCGTCGGGAAGGGAAGAAAGAAGGAAATTGCAGCACGTTCGCCATCGATGATTGCAATTCTTGGCCGTTTCCGATAACGTTTCTAGCCGTCAATTCGAGCTATTTCTCGGACTCCAACCAGGGTGTCGTGACGCACCAACAGATGCGTACTTAATACAAATATCTTCATCCTACGACGCCACGTCATGGGCTGACAACCTCTCCGCTTTTCTTCCATCCCTTCCCAGGGCTGGCTAGCGAACAGAGACCTGTACAGAAGCCTCTGGGATGACATTCGCAGCACACATGTCCAAGCAACCACCGAAGCCTGTATTTCCAGATACCGGCACTCAACGAATGGTGATCTCCACTGTGTAGAGTAAGACAGCCCGCACCGAAGCAAATGACAGCCAGGCTAACGTTGCAACAAAGTCATAGAAAAATAAACACTTACGTGTAAACATATATACTGAAGATCAAATGGCCAAGTGGAAAGGATTAGCAACAAAGAACTCTGAGGACGAATCAAACAAGAATCTATTGCCCAACAAATATATAGAATAAAATGGTGATGGAGTGGACATACACGCTGAGGAGACCATTGAGTAAATAATATATAGTGCCAGGCATAATCTTGAGTGGCAGACGAGATGGACATCCGAAGGTGACATGAAGGAGAACGTGAGAACAGGAAATGAAAGTTTATGGGGAATCGTGGGGTTAGCCAAGAAGGACTGAAAAGAAGAGGGGACGAAATGGAGATGTTTCTATGTTCCACTCAGAACTGAAAGGAATAATAATTGCGCCCCAATTTTTTTAATCTCCGTTACCAGAAACAGGTCTTTGGTATACCAGACAATTATTTACACTTAATGCGTTAAAGCTAATGATACAACTCAGCCGCCTTAGCTAGAATGGATGGAGCAAGATTGCCACCTGGCACCTTCCGGCTGATTTTTGAATACCATAAACAATAAGCCACGTTATCACTAGAAGCATCTTCACACCTTATCACTGTAAGGTCACGAGAGTAATTGTCAAATAAAACTACAGATTCTAAGCTCTAAACAGTGTTTGTCTTTTTTTTCTAGAATTCAATCAGTTTCAAGTTATTCGACTCTCTGAAGTCAGCCAATCTAACACACCACACCGCTGACGGATGAGCCTATCCCGAGTAAGTCCCATTTACTGCCTTCAGGCAGCAGGGGAGTTCCACACATAAGTGAAATGGTGAATGACAAAGTCTGCGTCTAACAACCACAGTACTGGACATTCAGGTCTACCTAGGAGAGCTCGGAAACCCTGATTCCAAAGCTAGGTTGCACAGGAGCTGTAGAATCTGGGACGATTAAACAGCTTATACACCTGTTTTGCTCATCTTCAACCAAAGGAACGCATATCCTGATGATGATGCTCCACTCCTTTGTCGACCATCAGAAGCCAAGTCAAAGGCACAGTGATTGTCCCTGGAGACGATCACCTGCTTTAGTCTGGACATCTCAGCAGTATCACAGCACAACCTATACAACTTTGTGTGGCGCGTCTCTTGGTGCCCATAATGTACTAAGCTTGTTTTTAATAGTAATAATAATAACCTCACTTACCACCGTTGAATAGTAAAGCTGTTAAACACTGACATGTTGATCTAGCTAAATAATAATTATCTAATCCAAAACCATCTTGTATTTCATATGATTGTTGATGATGAGTAGACTCTGTAAAGTTTTCTAAGGATAAACAGCATGCATTCGATGATGATGACGACGACGACGACGTAAAACGTGGAAGCGTTAGTCCATAATTTAAATTATTATTCCCCATCAATTCAGGCGTTTTATCTGCATGATTTGGAATTAACGGTGAGGTGATTAGATCACGTGCAACAACTGCAGGATGATATTGTCGATTATTATTGTTATCCTCGTTAGTATTGCCATTATCAATATTACCAGTACTATTACCACTTGAACCGTAACGCATACCAATCACTCCCATTAAAACAATTGCCATTGCCTAAAAATTTAAATTAATTAATACACAAAAGGCATTCTGTATATACTAGCTAACCATATGAGAAAGAAGAAATATAAAACAAACAGCTATAAAAAGGAGTTAATCACAATACTGAAATATATTTAGTAGTATATCCCCCTCCAATGTATTCAACATCTTCATTCCTGTACAAAACAGGCTTGGCGAATTGCCTCTTTAGTAAGATTCAACGAATATGCACAGTAGACAAACTTAAAGATGAGGAAAGAAAACTGACAGGAGCTCTAGTTGATAATAATTACCCAGAGAAGTAAGTTCAAACCAAGACCTGATCTCCAACTGGCTGCTAAGAATGACGTATATATGACAAGTTATCCTACGCATGAGTGATCATAGCAGCTTGACAACTAGACAAAGAGTTAATGCTGCGGTCGAAAAGAATTTTTATGCAGCTAAGATCCTAATAATTGAAAATGTGAAGCCAATATATCCAACTAAGCCCTTTGAGCATGTGCAAAATGGCGTCACATCCCATTATTTCTATTAATTTGAATACACATGTGGTCACATATACATAGGCAGGGCTCATTGATCTTTGCAAGTAAGGGTTTCAGAAGCAAATTGAATCCCATTAATGGTTGAAACAGGCAAACTAGTTCATCTACTGCCAAACATAGCATAGAGGCAGGACATAAAATTGATATTTACACCTCTTTTAAACCTATATATCTATAAAACTTGTTTTGGACGTATCCTAAAGCTTTTGGAAGCCCCTAGTAAGTAGGAAGTTTAAACTACCCTTATGTTTGCCAAAAACAATTCGTGATCACACTAAACGTCTTTGTTGAATTCTATTTCCATACCAGGGCAGATGTACTACTGCCTCCCTTTTTTGGTTTATTCATCTCCATTGTTGTTTTGTCCTTCAGTATAACCTTTTCATTTGACCTGTGTCCATTCTCTCACCTCTTAACGCTTTATTATTTCCATATATATATTTTTATAATAAGTACGTGTATGTGACCAGATTGTTCGAAATGTGTTACGCAAACACGGTTACACGACGTCTTCTTGTAGTTTTGTCGAAATTCATAAAGGGAACAAAATGTTTGAAATTATTAATATTATTATTTTCGAGTTCCCTGTTGATCGATTTTATTAGACAGAAACGCTAAGTCTATGTTAATATGTCGGTTCCTAACTAGTATTAGTGTTTCAAAGGTACCTCAAGGTTAGTGTGATATTATCTCGATCAAGGGCATCTGTGATAAAAGCCGACATGTCAACAGAGACTGATCATAATCACCCCCACCCTTCATCATTGAAATCAAGTAACGGGAAGTTTCCGCAATAAATTACAACTAATACGTCACTGTCCAAGAGATGACTATTTATGAGCCAGTAGATAATCCTTTGACAATTGAAACGATGGATACTTGATTCGAGTTCCATAGGGAATAAATCTTCATCAGACGAGTTACAAATATCAAGAAACGCATATCTTGGATATTACCAGAAAATTGATAGCAAAAAGTTAAAAGAACAATCTTCTCTAGAGACAGTTAACATGTTACTAGCTACTTACTAGACTTCTTGTGTTTTATTAAATGAAGCTAGAAAATCCTATCAATACAAAATTATAAGATAATGAATGAATAGCTCTAAGTGGTAACCTCTCTCTGTGACTACAACACCACTAGATGGTACACATTCGAACACCCTAGAGAGAATCATTTCATCCGAGGTTGTATTCGTTAAGCTGACAAGAAGACTGTAAAAGATATGAACTTCACGGATGATTTATGTCTAATGTTACACAGACTCCAAGACTTACAGACGGAAACAAACAAGAGGCTGGCAGCGAAGACAACATTTCAAGTAAACATAGAGAAGACAGAGGTGATGAATACACCTAACTACCCAACAACAACAACAACAACCACAAGCGCCAATCACTATCACTTATTTGGACATCATCATTTCAGCGAAACACTAAAACATGGCACCAGTCAATGAAATCTACAACAGTTAGTCTAAGCCACGTAGGAAGGTGTAGACTTTCTAGTTAGGGTCCTCAGGACGGTGAAAACCAATGGTTGGAAACAATAGGTGATATGGCTCAAAATCGTTCTCGATAGTGGCGCAGATGCATCCACTCCTTGTGAGTTATAATACCCAATGAAACTATATGGTTCTCCGTTATTACTATTCCTTTGTCTCCCAGCTCTGTTTACTGTCTATATTATGCATTTCTTTTACATTCTTCTCCTGCTTTGTGTGCTACATGAAGGGTGTGTGGCGACTTGAACTGCCGCACGTCAGTGCATAGTTCTATGTCGAAAGCAGACAGACATCGTTTCAGCTACAGGTGGCGCAGATAAAAATTTCAAGTCCAGGATAGGTCCTGGACTTCAGACTTCCGTCAACCGCTGTTCTCCGGCGGCTCAATGATGAATATCAGATGGTCGACAAGACAGTATATATTTGTCTGGAACAGATTCATCAATGCCCCAGGCTAAAAGCCACGTTTATCATATGAAGACTGGCGAAACTACCTAGTCGCCCAGGTTGTAATAGGTGGAGAGGGGTTCGAACCCGTAACTTATCGATGGATTGGATATTCACTGAGCAAAAGTCTCATGCTACAAATAACCTTGAGTGGAAGATGAGTGGGAAAAGACGACTACGGAGTCGGAAGGTGATATGCAGAAGATCGTGTGAGGAGGATGTGCTGCAAGTTTAAGAGTAACCGTGGAGCCAGTTGAAGAGGACTGCGCAGAGGAGAGGATAAAATCGAGATGTGACACTGAAGACTTTATTTTCTGCTCCTCCCCCCCCCACAAGATGCCTTATTTCTCCTTCCTGCAGAACAATAAGGCAAACACCAAAACACACTGAGAGAGCGTAAAAGCATATACACACGGAAAGAATTTATTTATTTATTTATTTATTTATTTGAATCACAAAAGCATTGACATTGAAAAAATAACAAGTAAAATTGGATAAAAAAATAGGCAATAAATTTTTTTCTAAAATAACCAAGCATTAATAAGCAAGGCAGTAAGTTAAGTTAAAAAGTTCACACAATATACAAATAAATACATAAAACCAATGAATAGTTAATACATCTCTATGCCAATCGAAATTTAGTACGGACGCTTCAACAATGTCATAAGGTTCAGTACTCCCAAGTCTTATAATGGCTCTCTAACTGATGTCAACCCCAGAAAGAACCAGTAAGCACTGGAATCCCTGCAGACCAACACTTGACAATTAATCAGGTGCTTACTACCGACTGGTCCGGTAACGACAGACGAAAAGGGCCAGCCATAGAATAGATAGTTTACTGAGAAAATCAACAGGTATTTATAGATTTTTATGTACATTATTATTCGTTATTATTAGCAGAGAAGCAACGTTGTTGAGTTCCTCAAGGTTAGGCTTTGTTCTTGTTTTTTTCTCATGACCCTGATTTGGGATGTAGACATTGACTCCAATTGTCTACAATTTCCCTGGCAGAGAGCTCTCACCACAGACCTATACAGAGAGTGTTCTGGAGTTTGCTAGCGAGAAATCGTAACCAGCAAGGTTCACGGAGTCAGGTAAGAAAAGAGTTATTCGCCTATGAACATTGGTTGGCAGCTGCCATCTATATCATGAATTGGTAGGAGATAGAATTCATAGGCCAATGGACAGACTTACAATGGTTAAATGGTCCACAAATTCGCCTTGTAACCGGAAGATGCAAGGTTCGAAATCCAGAAGAGGGTGCTTACGTCTCAAGAGTCCCGAAACAGGACGAAACAACTGTCCAGTATCCCGTGATCTTCCAATAGTACACTCTAACAGACGTTAGCTTGTGATCAAAGCAATACCGCAAGGTTAACACATCGTTATGCTTGGTTGGTGGTGGCTAACAGTGGAATACGAAATGCGCGTTTCCTCCCTTTATGGGACTCCTCAGATGGCTACACTTACGTTCTCAGTATTTATAACCTAGCATCTATAGTTCCAAACAATAAAGAGTAATCCGCTGGGATACCGGGCCCCAAGAACCAGCTCACTGTGTAACAAGTACTAGTTGTGATTTATTTAAGTTATTTTAGCATTTTTTCGAGAACAACTACTTTAACTTGGTTTGAATAGTATCCAAACAGTGCACACATCACAACACAGGTTTTTATTAAAAAACAAATTCATCGAATTAAATTACTGAAGAATTCAGGATGACAGCGAAACTTTTGTTTTCCAGTTTAAACATGAAGTGATATATCGGTAAAGGAACCACTGAAAATCACGGAGTATTAAACATTTGTTCCGTCCGCGTTTGTAACTCTTCACTCAGTAGTAAGTAACTATGACTTCTCCAGGGATATTGCTTTCTGACCCAACTTGAAAACTATTGTTTTTAAAGCACAGTTTCACTGAAACGGAAATTTAAATATCGAATATATCAGGGACGACGAGAAACATTAGTTGTACGGCAGCTGATGATACTACCCTGTTATGCCAAACAAACTTCATTGTTAGCTGAAAAGTCGGGATTCATGCGTGCACTGCCACGATAACCTTATTGGACAGTTTTGATTCGTTTATTTATGGCTTAATTTTCTGAGGTTTTATAAACATAATAATTTTACCATGCATTTTGTTTAATAAAGGTTACCGTTGTTCCGGTCGTCATTTTTCCCAATTCAACCCCTTTAGTGCCTACCTCTCAATCTGTGGGAGATAGATCCAAGTGAACAGTTGGTTACAGAGTCATGTTCTAAAGACGCACATTCTAGTCAACTTGGACGAAGAACCCACGACACATTAACACTCCATCACATGATATGAATAGATCGGAATTCAAACCAGACGCCAATTGGCTGAAATTATACCTCCAAAAAAAGAGCGGCTTTGAAACTTCAATATCTGCCAAGTATAAATAATGTTTAAAAAACTAAAAATTGAGCAAACGACAACTAATTTTTGAGAGTTCCCTAACCAAGTAGTGAAAAAAAAATATATGGACCACGAAAAATTGAAAAATTTATTTACGATCGGTTTTCAAAAGGCAAACGTGAAATAACAAAAAAAACACGCACACACAGAGTATGAAACAAAAGCCAGCTAGCTGAATCAAGCCAGAAAAGTGCACAAAGTATACATTATATAGAGCACGCTTCATTTGCAGCAGTAATTGACACAAACACACCCATACATACATTCACACACGCAGGCAGGCAGGCAGGCACGCACGCACGCACAAACGAACACGCACATACACTAACAGACAAAGAACAAATGAAATGATGAACGCCAAAAAGCCTCATTTGTGTGTGTGGATGTATGTGTATATATGTAGGCATGTGGAATACACATCACAAAGGCATACCTGACATCTTTGTATATCTCTCTGTAAAAGATAAGCCTGAGAAAATTAGATTTCTTACAACACATACATCCTATCAATAAAAACTAAAAATAAATTTTTTACAAAAATTGTTATATAAAGAAAATGTTTTTTTTGTGCACGCATCATCAAAAGCAGATGGTGCCTTCACTCAATACTGACGATTATTAATTAGGTGGCCGGTTAGCAGTGAGTGATATAAGCAATCTATACAAGGGAAACTCTAACAGTGTTGTGTAGAGGAAATAAGTCAAAAACCTTATTGCCCAACAACAAATATACAGGAGAAAATAGACATGGATTGAAAATACACTCTGAAGAGACCTTTTTATCAAGCGGCATCACACCCTAGAACCATAAGTGGAAAATGAATGAGTATTGACCAGTTGGACACGTGTTACGTATGCCTAGTTATCGCCTTCCTCGACAATGGGCAATGTTAGCTGACATATGATTGATCAGGTTGGAAAAGAGTTAGTGCTCGTGGTCAAACCAAAATACGGCTTCATTAGTCAGTGAAATTCACAACAGTTAGTTTAAGCCAACCAGCCACATAGGGAGTTGCTAAGATCCGGCGATGGCTAGAGACAATTGATGATATGGCTCAAAATCCTCGTTGCCAATAGCAAGCGCAGATGCATTCACTCTTTGTGATTTATTTGTCATATTCAAAAGAACTCTATTCTTCTGCCCGTTACACTCCTGTTGATTATCTCTCTTTTGAATCCCTCACTACTCTCTTCTCTTGCTTTGTGTGCTACAAAAAGAGAGTGTGACAACACGAACTGATGTACATCTGTACAAAGTCCTAAGTTGAAACCAGTCATTCAGTCAGTCAGTCAATCAGTTCAACTAGGCTGTAGCTCTATACGGTGTACAGACCAATCAAAAACGTTTCACGAATTCATACTAGAAGAATTAATCATTCAAGTTAAAAGGCTGACTAATACTTCAGCTCTGACAATCAAGAATGAGACTAATGCAACAAGTGACTATGAAACGATGAATTATGCAAATAATGTGACAATATAGAAATAATAGGGAAGATTTGTAGCTAAGGTGGATGATTTGCAATTAATAGTGTTGCGAGGCTTCCGTCGTCCCCCTGCTGGACAACATTTTCAGGGCAATTTTTAGCATTAAAGTGAAATGATTTAAATTTTTCCCATGAGTGATATAATTGCGTCTCCCAGTAACCATCTTTAGATATGTATTGACCGTTTTATATTGACTTGGATTTTAAACTTTCTGATCACGTGATTTACTTTTTACTAGTTAGTATATTTGGTCTATATTAATGTGTTTGTTATTGCATATTCGTTTGAGCACCGGGCTTCCTGGCACTTTTGGTGTTTCCTCTGTCTAAGATTTCGAGATTATCCCAATCAAACTGATGTCCATAATTGTCTGTGTGCATTGATATGAAAGAATATATATCGTGTCTTTTCACGGCTGGTTTGTGTTCTTGAATTCTAGTTCGAAGGGGACGCCCACTTTGGCCGATGTAATGCCTGTTACAGTCCATACAATATATTTTGTAAGTAGTATTAATTTCATCTCCTTTTTCTGTGGGATCTTTCGGTTTGCATAATATGGAATTATGCGATTTAACTGGCTTGTGTGCTATATCTATTTATATAAAACGGCTTCAGTATTCTAGCTGTTATTTGAGAGATATTTCTCATGTATGGTAGGATGAATATTGCGCTGAAGATGTTGTCCAGAAGGATGACGAAAGCTCCGCAACTAGACCAACTAGCTCAGAGAATACCATTAATTGCAAATGTGTGAGAATATGTAGGACAATTGATCATTTAATACTTCAATAGTGTGTGTGTGTGTGTTGTCCAAAAATTTCTCCAATCACATGAGTACACGGCACACTAACGAATTGAAAGATGCAGCTGCGACAGTGAGTCAAGGGAACCACTAAAGTGGTTGGGGTCTGATAAAAATAAACCAATGCAATTTAGGTGAAAAAAAACAAACAAAATAACAAAGCGTCTGAAGAATTGTAAGAATGCTAAACAAGACACCTTTCTTCCACAGATATATACATATTGCAAGAATAACAGTCAATTTATCATAGAATTCACGGATATTTATCGTTTGGAGTTGGTAGCTGAAGTTACCCAATAGAATTTAAAGCTAAGGATAGAAATTAACGTTAGATTTTTGCATTAGGAATATTTATTTTACGGAATAAACCTACTCTATAAATGATGGACAACAACCGTTATCTAATAATAATGAACTTGATCTCGTTTTACTTAGTGTCATCTATAACTGGAACACTTGAAAGGCAATGAATGACTCGGTCAGTTGTAAGAGACGTTCTAATTTTTAAAAACTTTTATGACTGGATTACCTTGTCTTGGTCTTCTGATATTTCCATAGCTACATGAAGCAGACAGTAGAAGGGATGAATGCTCGTCAGTCAACTGTATTCGATATACTTATTTATACCTCCCTCTATATTTTACTCAGTCTAATTGTAGCGTGTGCTACTACTGACAAGCTTTATAAGTAGTATATATTGTGGATTGATAGAGAGAAGCAGTGGAAGATTGAAATCAACATTTTTAAGTCAATGACTGGCTGCAAAGAGATAGAAGTGTTTCTTCTTCAAATCTAGATCTAATTTTACAATGTGGGCATGAAATAACCTCATTGAACAACTTCTTATCGCATTGATATTCAAGTATTGGTTTGTACGGATTTGATTGTTTGGTTAAAGGATTTCATCATGAGCTGACACATCGGTTAGACAAACATTGGAAAACTTGCATGGAGTACTTAAGAGATGTCTCGTCCTAGTTTAGGACTATTATTCAGCGGTACACACCCACCACAGTGGGGTTCGAATCCAGGACCTTCTAGTTACAAGGCTAGCGATCACCCAATCCAATGGTCAGTCCATGAATTCCAACTTCTGCCAGTTCACGGCATAGCACGACCACTAACCGAAATCCTTTAACCAATCAATCAATCAAATTCCCACGAACCAGTACTTGAATATAAATGAGATGGTCGCTAGCGACTGATTCTATTTAGGTAGGAAGCAGTTACCTAAGGTTCTAGTGGGAGTTCATAAGCAGTAGGGTACAACAGCAGGTCGAGCGTGAGGACAAATACTCGCACCCGTTGGCATTGGCTAGTGCTCATGCTGTGTCTTTTTACTTTTTTTCTGATTTCAGTTTGATTCCACACCGTATTTTTAGGTACAGGTATGGAATTTTCAGCATGTGATTTCGGTAGCCCAAATTTTGCAGGCCGACCATAGATGTCGGGTGTGCGTCAGCAGACGATCGAACCCCGGACCATGTGCATGGTCGGCGAGAGTCCTAACCACTGTGCCGCCGACGCACAGTGAATTGACAGAAGCTGAAATTCATTGGCTGACCATTACATCGGGCGTCAGTGGCCTAATGGTCTACAAGATCGCTAGTCTTGTAGCTGGAAGGTCCTGGGTCAAAAACCCCTCTGACGAGTATATACTGCTACGACAAAACAGCTGGTTTTCCAAAGGTCCTCTAACCGATGTCGGCTCATGATGAAATTTTTACCTCATTGTTTAACTCTGGGCTAATTGCTAACCCATCAGAACAATTTATTATCCCCCCCACCCCCACCCACCATAGATTTGGGAAAACTTCAAATACACACATAAAAACATACAACACAATACAAATAATATAAAGATATAATATTATCTTACCTGAAGACGTGCATTTTCTCTAGGTGATACACGATAACCATTCAGTGTCATCCACCAGGAACTATCCAATACAATAGACATATTAAGATTAGAATTTAAGCTAGTCATACTGACTGATTCAGTCATACTTGGTAATGTATCTACCTGAATTGTTGTTGATGAGGATGATGATGACGGTTTATTAACACTAGACTGTCTACCACCAATTGACAACAAAGTAGAATTATCCCCTGGTAATTGATTCAATTCATCAATAATACCACCACCATTATTACTATTACTATTAATTTGTTTTTTCATATCACTTATTGGTGCGGCGGGAAAATGATTTGATTCTATTGTATTGATTAATCCATTCATCATTTGTGGCAAACTTTGTTTACGTGTTGCTGTTGTTGTTGTAGACTTTGTTTCTGTATGATTGGCTAATATATCGGTAATATAACCAACAGTATTATTACTCCTATTGCTATTAATATTTGTACGATCCAATGAGACTTGTTGATGAATCATCTGACGTGAAGGCAGAGGTTGTGGTTGTTGTTGCTGCTGCTGGTGCTGTTGTTGTTGGTGATAGTCTTTAGTAGTAAGCGAAAAGGGTGGAAGTAAAGCTGACCAATAAGCAACTAAGAGTTTACGATCCTCTGATGACAGTCGATCTAAGCATGTAAGCAACAGTGTACGAGCAGCATACCGTATCTATGAGAAGAATAAGAGAGAAAAAAGAAGAAGAATGAGAATACGGTTGGAAATTTGCTTGTTTTACTAAAACAGAAACACTCTGGTATATTGTGGACACGAAACCCCATAGTTTCTTCGAGGCCTGTAATATTGATCAATTGTCCAAACTGAAACAGGTGGTTGACCTGATTTATGAGGTAACCCCTACCCTCCGAGCCTTTGACTTGCCTTCTGGTCCATAAAACAGTAGGGGAGTGTCAAAAGTGCAGACACACCATTCGATCCTTCAGGATTCTGTAGCCCATGTACACCACAGGTTTGAAATTAGGATTTTCGAACTCTCCCAGGTGGACTCGTATGTCCACCAGGCTGATTGGAAGACCCAGACATTTTTATTCACTATTTCACTTCTATGCGGAACCACCCCCGCCCCCCGGTGCCTGAAAGCAGTGAATGCGACTTCCGTGGGAGAGGCTATGAATACTTGGCGACATGTGAACATTTCGAGTTTGTGCAAACACTGGAATACTACCCAGAATCTCAAACCGAAGTATATGATCATCTTAGTTGACTAACCTGTGCGAGACTTCCACTTGAAGCATTTTCCCCAAGGAAATGGGACAGAGTCAGGAGCTGCGTTTCTGAGGTTGCTAGTGACTAAAACAAATTCATAATGTCATTCGATCCTTACGCATTCTGGAGCCTATCTTGACCGTTGGTTTAGAATCAGAGTTTTCTAGCTCCCCTAGATAGACATGTATGTCCACTAGTCTCGTTATAAGCGCCCGGAGTTCATATTTGCCGTTCCTCTCTTATGAGTAATACACCCTGCTGCGTAAAGGCAATGAACAGGATTTACCTGGGAGAGGCTATGAACGAATGGCCAAAGCATGAGAGCATTTCGAGAGGAAAAATGACGTCTACCTGACACTCAAGCTGTACTAGGTAGTTTATGGAGTTGGAAACTAGAGACAGGCAAAATTAAAGTACGGAAGCCAACCCCTTTGACAACCAGTTAGCATTATAGATGGTATAAACATACTAAATTATGCCTTGTGTTGGTCATTTGCTAAACGAGTTTCAGAAAAATCGAATGATCGCTATATACACACATGAAAACTAATTTATTTATTACCGTCCTACACCAGTAGGTCAATCATGAGTCTGAAATGCCTCAGTGTTAAGGTATCTGATTGTAAGGCTGAGTGATTCGCCTTCAAATCTCAATCACTTTGAGATTCTTGACCAATGCAGTAAAAAAGGACACTATAAGCCAGAGCTTCTAACGATTGTCTTCAACCAATAGAGCAGGTCGACTAGCTCGGTGACCTATAGGATTCAATCAGCGTAAAAATTAGGCAGTCAACAGATAACGCTAGCTGTTTTCTCATCTCTCCGCATTCCGAGAGGTAAACATAAGTCTTCAAGCTTGAGCCCTGAAGTTCTGATAACGCTAGTGTTTATTTTACCATGTGGGGTTACTAGCGTCGCACCCAAAGTCCTCTGTTTAGAGGGCTTTCTGCCAATCAGCAGGGGATCGAACCTCAGACCACATGTAGTATGGTTAGCAAGCATTCTACCAATTCCTAAGTATAATATTTGTTGTCATTACAATAAAGACCAGTTATACGGCGGATACATTTTTAACGTGGAATAATAGATTAGTTATTGGGTGTCAAAATAAATAGTCGTATTTGTGTGACAAACGTGCTGGGCTGAAATTGATTACCAAAGTATTGTAAAACGGGAGACAATGGTGGTGACTAATCATAACAGATTTGCAGAGTTTGGGGTAGCAAAAGTGACAAGTTAGTTCAAGGTTATAAAAGGTGTCAGACGGATGAGTGGCTAGTACAATGTGCTATGTATTACAGAGGAGGAGATAGTAAGACTGCAATCAGAGGTTCATCATGAAATAACCAATATGTGAAATGAAACAGGTGGAGGCATATATTGAGAAAAGAGATAATATCACTAATAATAAGTTCGGATAGTATGAATGAAAAATTCGACAGTAATGAGGGAATGTTTTTGCATGAAGGGCATAAATTATGACGAATAATGATAATTGTAATAATAAGCAAAACAAAAAGCCAAGAGGGTTAAGGGAAAGGAGCACTCTTGATGAGAAGAAGAATCATCAATCCAAGTTTGGCCCAAGGTAGGAACAGTGTCTGGACGTGTTCTTTTTGGATACAAAGTTCCGGTTTAGTTGATCTTATTGCAACAGCTTCAGCCATGTGTAGGAGACGTAAGCGAACTGTACGTGATAACGACTTCAGAGTTCGGTATATAACCCTGATAGCTGTGTTGACATCGATACGATGTACAGTATTGACCAAGTGTGACAAGATCGAGCTTTTTATACACTTAATTTCCCCCCCCCCCTACTGAAGCAAGCTGGTATATGTTCTCGAACCCGTAGACGAACCTGCCTAATCGTGCGCCCTATATAACTTGAACCACAGGAACAGTTGAAATGGTATATGCATGAAGTAGAGCTAAGGTTAGGTCGCTGGGTGAACATTGGACGGCTAGTGAAGGATAGACACAGACGTGCAGAGTAGAAAGTTTTCTTGATCGCCCTGGTTAAACGTTGCGATAGAATCTCCGCACGAGTATCTCCCTTGAATAGGAGACGTAAAAACAAAGGTTTTTTCTCCATCGTTGCCAGTTCATGTTTACCACTAATGTAACTTCAATGAACTTGTCTGGATATCCGTTCTCGCAGTCTTCCGAACGAATAGACCTCGCTCTAAATGCTAAGCATCTGATTAGAATACGTTTGTATTTCATTGGTACGAAGCTAATGAAATGTGTGTATAACTGAGCTTTGGTCTCTAGCTTTCTAAATATGGTTCTTTTGACAGAACCATCTTATCTTCCCGTTAGTAGGACGTCGAAGAAGTGTAGAGAGTCGTTGTATTCTCCTACGTTCGTTCAGATTGACTTTTAATTCATAATATGGGAATATTTCACACTATCAAATTCCTAAGTAAACCAACCAATCAATATATGTCATCAAGACGATTAAATCGATAAATTATACTTGATATTGTAGAAACAGAAAAACAAAATCAAATTGATAAAAATTATCACTTACCGGTAGACAACGATCTTGCCATTTACGTATAAATAAATTCAAATCAATCGAAGGTAAAATATTTTCACCACCATGAGATCTACTCTCAGTGTTATTGATTACAGAGTGATTAGATAATATTAAATTAATAAAATGATCTAATAGGAATGCACAAAACTGTAGCCAATTTTTACGCCAATCATTATGAAGAGGAGTTTTAGTTGTTGACATACTGAAATTCCCACCGTTAAGTAAAGATGATGATGACAATGAGGACAAATAAGACGGTGGTGGTGGTGGTGGTGGTTGTGGCGAGGTTGGCAACGTCGAAGATCCTGACGATGATGATGTTAAGCATATAGTATGTGATAAACGTTGAAGATATTTATAATTCAATGATGTCATTAACTCGGTTAGTGTAACACCACAAAGAAGTAAATTTGTCGAAATGATTGAAGAAAGACAATATGCATTAGGTATACTAGATATCGACTTCGATATCAGATGTTGAGATTTACTTGCTATACAACCTATCAACAAAGAGGGAAGAAAGGAAAGAAAATAGAAGTGAATATGTTTCTAGAAAGAAAGTGGCAATAATTTTAATCCATGAGTACTGCCGATATCTGATATTTTCATCATATGGTGGTCTGAATTGCATATCGCAAGTGATCCAACACAAGCTAGACTGGCTTGAATGAATATTCTTGCAGGTCCTAATAGGCTAAAAAAAAAAAAGTCGTTTATAAGATTTAGCAGGTCTTAAAGGAGAAAGCTAAGCGCGTTGGTAGCATAGCGCTTAGCACGCTCGCCAATCATGCACATGGTGTCCAGGGTTCGATTCTCGGCCACTCCTTTACCTCGCTAAACCAGTGATAAAGCTGGTAAGAGAGAAGGTTAGATATGAGGCTAGCAATGCCATCCTTAAAAACAAACACTGCTACAGAAATTTCAAGCCTTCTATCTTGAAGCCCTATGTTCCACTGGGAACGTGAAGGAAATAAAAAGGAAAGCTATACCTACTATGGCCGAATAAGAGTGTAACAGCTGTAAGGTCTTTCCCTCGGATGATCAGCAAGGTAGTTATGCTGTCTTTTTCCTGTAGGGAGAGAGAAGTACAGTTTGTAATACAGGCGGGCGGAACGGATGAAGATGTCGAAGTCAGTCAGAATCGGAAAGGCAAGATACACCTTCATCAACTTGAAACCATTTTGGGAATCTTCTGCTTCCATCAGCCAGCATAATGGACAAGATTCGGATTTTCAACATCAATGTCAAATCGATCCTTCTATACGGGTCAGAAACTTGCACTACTACACGTCACAAAAAGGATTTCCAGCAGGCAACTACAGCTGCCTTCGCTGTCTGAATACTGAAGATTGAATATCCAGTCAGAAGGAATTAGCGACAAGAAACTCTGACTGGGGAACAAACCAACCAAGAGCCGATCGCTCTTGCAGATGGATTGATCGGGCGTACATTGAGGAAACCCTCGAATGACCTTGCGCGCAATGCAGGCCATCGCTCGAGTGGAATCCCATTGTGAAGCGGCTTGAGTGGGTCGTCAGTGAGAGGGTGATATGGAGGAGCTCCTGTGAGGAGGAGGAGGAAAGGGAAGTGAGAGGTTGTGAACAATCGTGGACCCAGATGAAGAGGACAGTAGAAGACAGGAAAAAGTGGAGATGTGTTGTTGAAGCCCTATGTTCCACTCGGAACCCAAGGGAATAATAATAATAATAGCACCTTTGTATTTAATACTTTTTATGAGGGCTAGACTCTCATTGGTTGCTATCTCCTAATAACGAATTTAGAGCCATCAAGATTTTTTTTGAAACACATATATATTCGACATGGCTGTCAACTATTTTGACTGTTATTGTCATCATTCCAGTTGTCTGTTTTGTCTTCTTTTCACGTGCTAGTGGTACTAGTAGTGTTGCTGCTGGTTGACGTTACGATTAACAGTTTGGAGTAAGTTTCCTTTAGCTCATGAGGTGTCTATCGCTCCTAATCTAACAGGTTTTTTTATTACTGATCATATCAACTCACACCTTGATGGAATAGATCATGGGTGCGCTAGTCAATCGCAATATAGGGATACAACAGCTATTCAATGTTCCCTGATCCCGATGGCTATCTAACTGACTCTGCTGATTGTTGGCGAAATTCACATTGTTTCTACCGAAAGAGAGAGAGAGAGAGAGAAAAACAGCTTCCCTCACAGTTTTGAATGCTATCCAAGCTATCAAACAAATCTTGACGACAGTTCATTTGATTTATTTTGCAATCGAATTAAATTAACAAAGAAACTGTGTAATTGGCACAATCATCGTGTTTCCACTCTCCACCGTCTGCAACAGAATGCGTATCCTAAATCCGTAGCTGTCCAGTCACTTGACAACTCCAGTAGGTCGAATAAAGCAGCTCAATCTTCAGAAAGAAGACAAAGTAATAAGTTTGACAGGGTGCTTCAACTAAACTCTAATCCTAAACACCATAATTTTGAAAATATACGTCGAATCATAAAATTCTATATACTAACAGTTTGAACAGACATGAAGGTATGATGTTAGCTGAAGCGCAGGAAATCCTGATTAATAGATAAGAATGGATATGTATCACTAACTAATAATACTTAGTCAAAGTTCCTGACTGTCTATATCTGCTTATGGAGACGTTAAGACATTGTTTTACAACTGTTTGTCCACACACACACACACAGATACACACTATGTTTAAAGTGTTTAGCAAAGGTAGACCAATATTTGTAAGTCCAAGGTCAAGTTTTGATCACATCTCATACAATTTTGTTTATTATACTTGTTAATACTTGTTTTATGACTCATGATTGGACAATGTTTTTAAAAATAAGAGATGTTCCTTTTATAGATAAACCTCTGTTAGGTTAATTTCGATTAATTTCCCTGAGGAAGTTCGGACCAGATTTCCGAACGAAACGTTGGAATTGCTCATTTCAATATCGCTGAGATTTTACAAATATAATTTTTTATAAATGGTTTCAGGCTAAATTTCTCATTCGGTGCCCAAATATTTTAGAACTATTCTGTCAAATCTTGACAACAGTTCATTGGAAGAAATAGAAACACGTTACACATAACGATTATCATAATCAATATTATCATAACTTACCTGGCATACTTAAACTCATACAACCACATTTTGATATTAAACCAATACATAAAGATTCTTGTATATGTAACAGAGGTGACTGATAATGAACACTGGAGAAATTCGCTTCCGTCATTTTTATAAACTGATTATTGCAGAGTTTTTCAACAATTTTATCTATTGAAGAATCTATACCCCATGGATGAATTAATGATAGAAGCAACTGGATGAAGTTAGCTTGAGTTACATCAATTGTAAATATGTCATCATGATATGATGCCGAAGATACTGATGACGGTGCAGTGTTATGATTCACCTACAAAGAACAGGAGACAAATATATGCACCAATGTTATCATAATGTGATAGAGGCATGGAGAACAAAGACCGACTCAACAACCAATCACAACAGACTTTGCGTAGGCGGATACAATTAGCAAATAGATGATTTGACACTCAAGAAACGGCCACAAAGAGATGAAAAATTAACTTTCAGTGAGAAACAAACAATCAGAAGACTGTGTATGTCTGCTGAGAATAATTTATAATAATGTACATGAAAATCTATAAATACGTGTTGATTTCCTTAATAAACGATCTGCTGTCTGACCCTTATCTTCTAGTGTTACAGGATGAATGAAATACACTAATCCTGGCATCTGAAAAGCCTTCTTTTACCCTTTGAAGGTGTAATTTTTTTCAGAAGACTCCCAGGGTACCTACCTAGAAGCTGTAGAACTGATATCCAGAAGTTCTAATGAGAAATCATAACTGGTATAGGTTGCGACATGTAAAGTTTGTTCATCGATGGTAACAATTGGCAGTAATGCTGTACACTATGCTGTGAATCGATAGAAGTTAGAATTCAGCTGTGTGAAGATGCTACACGTCAAGCGATTCACCACAGGAAACTTAGCGAGACCTTTCAAGTGAAGACGGCAGTAAGACAAGATTGAATACTATCACTGACGATATCCTTAATTGTGGTGAACTGGATCATAAGGTAGGTTATGGGAAGGGGGGTTCTCAGAATGATGAGGACCAGTGACGGTTGGAGACAATTGGTGATATGGCTCAAAATCCTCGTTGTCAACTGTTGGTGCAGAAACATTCACTCTTTGTGATTTATCACATCTAATGGAACTCCATTCCTTTTCCCTCACACTTCTGTTTATTATATCCATTTTGAATCTCTTTTTAGTTTCTTCTCTTGCTTTGAGTGCTACATGAAGGGAGTGTGGCAACTCGAATTACTGCATATCGGCGCAAAGTAGTTCTATGTTGAAACCAATCAGTTAGTCAGTTAGCGAGAATACATGACTATGTTGGGCAGATAAGAGGATTCTAGAAGATTCGGACTTCGCTGACGATTTATATCTAATGTCATAAAATCTCGAAAATCTAAAAGCGAAAACCAACCAGTTAGAAGTAGAAGCAGAAGCGAAGACAAGAGTTCGACTGAATATAGAGAAGACAAAAGTGATCAGGAAACCTAACCCACAGTAACAAAACAAGCACCACTCACTATCAACTGGAGAAATTTGAAGGAGGTTAAACCGCTTCCATATATCCAGACAGGTACTTTCCAACTACAGGCAGATGGAATGGATCAAGATGTCTAAATCAGTCAGGATCGGCAAAGCAAGACAAACTTGTATTGCTGTAAAATCAATATGGAGATTTGCTGCACTAATTAAAGTGGGAACAAGACTCGGATATTTTCAACACCCCAATATTATCAAGTCGTCTCTTCAATAGGCTTCAAAAACTTGGAGTGCCAAGAGAAGCATTTCCAACAGGCTGTACACTTTCATCAACACCGGTGCCTTTGAACACTAGTGAAGATCATACAGCAACGAACAAATTAAGAACCAATCGCCCAACAAACATGCTGAAGAAAAAAATGGAGATGGATCGAACACTCGCTGCAAAGATCGTTGAGTGGCATCATGCACTAACCATAACCTCAAGTGGAACACGGTTTGAAAACTAGGATTTGGGTGTCCTCAAGTGATATGGAGGAGATGGGAGCTTATAGGTAATCTTGGGGCCAAAGACTACAAAGAAGACTGAAGAGAGAGCAGTATCCTGAGTATTAAACCTAGTCCAGAGATCAAGTCCAAGATCCTTTGCGATCTACATATCTCACACTCACTAATATCAAATTTGTCTTCATCTAATCAAAAGTATACACATTTATTGGGGATGACATGGCATCAATCCTAGACATACGTAAAATATTCTGCAGGAAACAAAATAGTAGACAGGAGTCGAACCGCATTAAGAGTACGTTGGAAAATCTTAACTTACTTTGATATATTACTATGAGTAGTATATTGCAGTTCCAAAGTCATCTAGTTGATGATAACATTATATCACTGTATATTAGGTTTAGTAACTTACCCATCTAATATAGGATATTCTACTCTTATGTGAACTTTTCGCTGCAAATTTCACTTATTATTATTATTGTTTCCTTAAGTTCGTAAACGAACATAGGGCTTCAGCCCCACGTCTTCATTGCGTTCGGTTCTCTGTCAAAGTTTTCATCGTCTGGCTCAACGTCTTTCCACATGCTTCCACCTCCTTTTTATATCACTTCCTCTTCAACGTCATAATCGCACTGACGACCAACTGACTCACCGCTTCCCCATTCGGCTTCCACTCGACAGATGGTCTGGCGTGTGATGTCATTTGATGATGGTTTGTTTTCTCAGAGTATGGCCAATCCATCTGCATTTCTTCATGCATATTTGTTGCACACTTGGTTCCTGCAGGGTTGGTTTGTTGGTTCATTGCCAGACATCCTTCCATGTTGCTGATCTTTTCTGGCTGGCCATCTCATCTTGAGGAGTATAGAGTGAAGACAGCTGTTGATGAAGACCTGTAGTTTGTTCAAAGTGCCCTTCGTGACGCGTTGGCCAAGTCTCTGATCCGTATAGTGAGTAGCACTAACTGACTTCAAATTGAAGTTGAAAATCCGGATCTTATTTTCATTTTCATGCTGAGTGCTGGTGATCTCCACACGGATTTGAGAGTAATGGAAGCATACCTTGCTTTCCCGATCCTAACTTTTATATCCTCATCAGTACCGTCCACCGGTAATGGAAACAATGTTTCCTAGGTAGATAGATGAAGGAGGTTGCTTCCTTCACATTTCTCTAATTTATGCTGATTGTTGTCTATTGTTTTTGCTTGTGCTGTTGGCCAGGATCTTCATTACCTATCTCTGTTTTCTCTATGTTCACCTGAAGGCCTATCTTTTTTGGATGCTTCTTCTACCAACTTGTTGCTTTTCACTTGGATATCTTCCAGTTTGTGGAAAATCAGACACATATCATCGACAAAATCCAGATCCTCCAAGTTTTTCGTGAGGGTCCATTTTATGCCTGTTTCCTCGCTGCCTGGCCCGGTGTCTGTTGCATTATCCAGTCTACCACGATCAGGAAATTCATTGCAGACAATAGGCAACCAGCCAACCTGCCTTACTCCTGTCTTCCCTTCTTCGAAGGATTTCGTGAGTTTCCCGTTGTGGATTACTTGACATGCAGCATTGTCATAAAACTGTTGGATGAGATGAAGAATTGTCGGCGGCACCCCGTAGTAGCGAAGTAGTTTCCAAATCACCTCACGATCGACGCTGTAAATTTCACTTCGCTATCTATTCACTGTAAAAAAGTTAACTGGAAGTGATGGAGAAGATTTGTAGAGCTCAAGGTGGATGACATCGATTGTTAGTTTGTTTTTTCCTGTTGTCCCAGCTGGATATTTAACTGTAAAGCATACATTGATTATTTTTATTCTGAACAACATCTTCAGAATTCACTTCAGTGTAAAGAACGTATTGGGGGGGGGGTAATGCGGGGAGTTTAGATAGTGAAATGAAAATCTGATTCACTACGAGATTCTAATCAGCAGCTTCCAAATTACTAGTCCGAGTAGCTCTATATCAGCTGAACTACAAGATAGTTGAGTAACTGTCAGCCAAGTGTCATCATAAATTCACTGCAACCAACACCACATGTAACGCACAGCTTTTGTGTTGATAAATGACAATGTTTTACGTTCATTAATCATCAACACTGGCTGCCCAGATAAGCCTTTTTCTGTCAATGATAAACATATTTGATTTGATTGGTTACAGGTTTGATCAAATCCCTGCAAACCAAAACTGAATAATTAACCTGATGCTCACTAGCGACTGGCTTTATACCGTAAGTTACCTGGAGTTTAAATGAGAAGTTGTGACCAACTAGATCCACTGAGCCAAGTAAAAGAACAGTTACTCACCGATGACACTGTCTGGTGACTGCACTTTACCTTGCTAAATGGCAGAAATTAGAAATCATGGGTCAATGGCTGGGTCCGAACCCCAGTGGGCGCATGCCGATAAAGAGTCCCAAGTCAGGACGAAACATCGTCTTCCAGTACTCCTTGGTTTTCCAATCATTCTCTAACTGATGTCAGCTTGTAATCACACCTATAATTACACTTGCATTAGTAAGAGCAAAGCAGATAAGATTGTCTTAGATGACCTTGATTAGGCAGAAGTCTATCGATGTGTACTTAGAGTTCAAATCTTGCTGCAACTCAGATGCTCATTTCACCATCAACCAAACTTTTATTCAGTACTAAGAGAGAAAAGTGAAATAAGAACAATCAACATACCGATTCATCATTGTCCGTTAGAACGGCATTATTCTGTGATAGGATTTCAACTGGATAAAATAAAAAAACAAATTGGTAAAGAAAAATGAGGATATTGTTAAAACAAAGGATTAAATGAATTATGGCAAAGAGAGAAAACGTCGAATCGAATTCGTCATTTATGCAAACTATGCAAAGTTCGAGGGGGAGATGTTCATCACAGTTTCGTTTCGAAACTAAAATTAATCACAAAGCTGTATATAAAGGATCTACCGATATCAGGTAAATGGTAAATAGCGTAAACATATTAATGTATGTGGAAAACATGAACGCTAAGGTTGTTAATTCCTTTCCTATTTCCCCCATGTCGTTCCTGCTTTTGCGTTAAAATTTATACTACTTGTCTCTAGTAAGTAGTGCAAGTTGTATTAGTCAATTCTTAACCATGTCTTTACTTACGAGTGAAGTTTATCTCACTCGATGCATGAATAACCTATTAGACCTACAATAATTATTTTCTTATAATCAAACATTATTAGCTGCATATGCCTTATCCATGCACTCTTTACTGTTGAACATTGTTTATCATCATCCATTTATATTGTGTGTCTATCATTGGCGCGCTGTTTGAAAAACACGTAGATCGTCGTTGACACAGCTCTACTGTCTTTTTATTTATTGACGCAAATTGACTGTGCCTTTTGACGGCATTCAGCCACAGGCACCTCACAACTGAAGTTTTTATATTATATTTCATATTTTATGTTTATTATAGTACCGTATTTTAGACAAATCTTGTGTTTTCGGAGTCAGTCATTTCACCCTGTTATACATTGGATTCTAAAACTGTCATCCTATTAAACGGTTGTATGTAACTACATGTAATACCACAGCTAAGCTTGTTTCTGAATTTCTTATCTTATTGTCGATATGTCGATGACACATTTGTAGTATGCAACAACGAAAGTCATGCCTCCTACCTACTCAGACTATTCAACAACGCACATACAAATATTGTATTTACTATGGAACATGAAAATGATGGACAGTTCCATTTCCTTGACGTCGCCATGAAGATGGTAGCCTCCAGAGGTCAATCTACCGAAAGCCCACATGGAATGGACAATACTTACATTTTAATAGTTTTTGTCCAAATAGCTATAAACGAGCACTAGTCAAGACTCTGTACTATAGAGCGAGGAGAATATGCTCTGCAGAGAAACTAGAGGAAGAATTCACGAATCTCGAAAAGGTGCTGAAAAACAACGGCTATACTCAAAAATTCATTAACAAATATGGAAGATGTGAAGGCCCAAATACCAAACAAATCACAGTCGAAAAAAAGCCTGTCTTCATTCAACTAGACTTTAAAGGTGAAGACATTGCAGAAATGGTCAACAGAAGACTGAGGACGTCACTAGCCAGAGCCTATCCTGCAGCTAAGTTGGTTCCCGTCCACCGAACAACATGCTCTTTGGTGCAGTCAAAAGTCGATAGATACCCTTCTCATGTTAACTCCAACTGTGTATACAAATTTACGTGTATCTGCGGGAGCAGTTACATTGGGAGAACAGAAAGAAGGGCACACCTCCGATTTTCTGAACATGTGCCGAAAAGCCTACGTCTCAAGGGAACAAATTCTTATAGCAGCGCTATTACCAGACATCTCCTCGACACGGGTCATGAGGTGGAAATCGAGAAATCCTTCAAAATTATCAATAGACAAAGGAGCTCCATTCTCCTCAAGTTTGCCGAAGCAATTTCTATCAAACGCTTGAAACCAGATCTATGTGTTCAGAAAGAATCAGTTATTAGTCTTTCCTTGCCTTGGTAACTGGATGTCTTTTTTCTCCCATCTGATTGCGTAATCTTTGTCTTTAACCTCACCCTCTTTTATAATTTTGCTTGTCTCTTGTTTCTATGATTTGAGTTCAACTCAGTACATTGTTACCTAACTTATTAGTCACTTTGCATCTCTCATCTGATTGTGTAATTTTGTCTTTAACCTCACCCTCCTTTTATAATCTGTAATTTTGTTTGTCTCTTGTTTCTATGATTTGAGTTCAACTCAGTACATTGTTACCTAACTTATTAGTCACTATGCATCCAACGCACATCCCTTACCATTATATACATACATTTATTTATTTTTTTTTAACTTGAACTGCCTGTGTAAAAACTATATAAGCGCAATTTTCTGAGCACTGTTTACTAGTTGTGAAACTTTCTGTCAACATGTAAAATTTGCAAGTACGTTAAAACGTTTCTGTACTTAAACCTGAAAATTTATTTAGGCTGTAAGCAGCTGACGAGAAGCCAACGAAATAAATGATGGTACCATGTTATTCTGCACAAATCAATGTTGTTCTCGCTTTATTCAAATATCTTATTAGAGCCAACCTGTCTAGGTTTCAGTAAGTTTTTGTACTCTGTTAATCTAATGAACTCCGTTCTATGTCAGTCACATGCACACGCACATACACACAAGTACGATGATTGGGAATTGAACTTGATCAGCACTTCTATTTGAGTACAGTTGCTAATCTGTCTCAATGTTTCAACATACTCTTCCCAATGATCCACCGTCTCCCTTGTTCTCACCTACACCAGGAAACTACAATCGTCATATCACTTTCTTTCATGTCATAACCCGATTTGATCGTAGGCCATATAGACAGCTAGCCAGCCATCTAACAAGGTCTAAACTGCAAGACTTGGCAAGGACACCTCAAAAACACCACCTAGGCTTTTCCCTAGGTGCTTGTGTTGTTTCTTCTGTGTAAAGTGACATAATAAGGTGAGCAATATTGAGGTTAGGTGTCGAGTGCTAGGTGGGGAGGGGAAAACAATCGACGAGGCTGTGAAGCTACATCGACTGAGATGGTTAGGACATGTGTTACGTATGCCTAGTCATCGCCTTCCTCGACAAAGGGCAATGTTACCTGACATAGGGTCAGGTTGGGAAAGAGCTAGCGGAGGTCCCATCAGTCAATGAAACCTTTGACAGTTAGTTTAAGCCACGTAAGAAGGTGTAGACTGGACTGCTGTTTGGGGTCCTCGAGAAGGTAAAAACCAAAGAAGGCTGGAGGCAACTGGTGATATAGCTCAAAATCGTTCACGATGATGGCGCAGATGCATCCACTCCTTGTGACTTATAATTTCCAATGAAACTATATTGTTCTTCGTTATTACTATTCCTTTTGTCCCATATCCCTGTCTATCGTCTTTATTTTGCATATCTTTTACTTTCTTTTGTTGCTTTGTGTGCTACATGGAGGGAGTGTGGCGACTTGAGCTACTGCACGTCGCTGCAAAGTTCTATGTTGAAAACAGACAGACAGACCCTAGAATCATCACTCACTGGAAACATAATTAAACCACCTAAATGACAGAACATAATAACACCGAAAAGTTAATCAGTCTCTGATTAGTTAAACTTCTTACAGTTTAAGAAATACTGGTAGTATAAAATAAAAGACCAGTGAATGTGGCATAGACTGAATTTGAAGCTTTCTATCTGCCTACTGTTAATATATAAACTGTAAGAATGAATGGTTAGCCAGGGTAAATTTTAGAATAAGCAAAAAAATGGAATAACTATAATCTACATAAATTCAAAAATGATTTTAACACTACCTCGTTATGTCAGGTGTACTGTGTTGAAGAGTTTCAAAATTGTGCCCCATACACACACCTAAACACACAGCAGTTTGGTGCCGGTTATTCTCCTTAAATGATTTTCCACCGATTTTGATTCCTAGACTGAAAGATGAAGTACCTAGACTAGCTAGGCACTTCTAATTGCATCTAGTAATTCAAATGCGTTTGTAGTGGAGCGAGTTATCTAAGCCGTTGCTCTAGGAACTTGACGTTTCATGCTCGCTCGGGAACATCTCCCAGTATGGCTAAGTAAAGGTGTAGTAAAAACCATCAACAGTTTTCAATATTAGACCATCTGATCCAAACCGGCCACAAAGCAAGCCAGCGTTGAAGAATCCTTCTCTATCATCTACCAGGTGCAAAATAAATTGCCAAAAAAAACCATCGAAGTACCGCATGCTTCAAACAGTAGAGGCTATTGCGATTTGCGTAAAACAACCAGTGCTTTGTGTGTCCAAATGAAGCAAGTCCAGCCACCCACTACTGCTGTCCTGGTCGACCTTCAGTAGAGATTATAAATTCACGAATCTGCATTATTATCTTTCCCTATTTTTCTGACATTCATTTTATTGTTATATTGATGCTATCGAAATGTTTTTCTTTTCCTTGACGTTTCCTGTGGAACACAGGGTCTCAAGCTAGTGGCTTGAAGTTTCTGTAGTAGTGTTTATTTTACAGGATGTGGTTGCTAGCCTCATGCCCAACTTTTCCTCTTTACCAGCCTTATTACCGGTTTAGCGAGGTAAAGGAGTGCACCGGCCGGGGACCGACCCCCCTGACCATGTCCATGGTCGGCGAGCGTCTAAACCGTTGTGCCACCGACAAACCCACTACTATTGATTCGCGGTTATTTAAACATTAATGTTGTTCATAACACTAATTCATTCACTATAATGTATATATAACTGTACAGCCTGCTGATGGAGTTATCGAAAGGAATATTCTTTGCTCAGTAACCATTCTTTTGAGAACTTTAGAATGTCAATTTGCATTCTGAGTGTGAGTGAGTGAGTGAGTGAGTGAGTGAGTGAGTGAGTGAGTGAGTGAGTGAGTGAGTGAGTGAGTGAGTGAGTGAGTGAGTGAGTGAGTGAGTGAGTGAGTGAGTGAGTGAGTGAGACATCAAATTCCCCTGTTAACACTGTAATTATTTTATTGACAGACAACTGTTTGCTAAGACTTCGTTTTCCTAGAACGCACTTCTCATGTATCGGACAACAATGAGCCAGACACACTCACTACTTATGAGGGTTGACAGTACTACCGGTGCTAAACAGCCAGGGCAGGAAAGGACTCGAACCCTGGACCCATGTGGGTGAGCTAACCCGAATAAATGTGTATAACACAACACAACACAGCAGAAAAAAAGGAAAACTGTCTACTTACCTATAAGTGATTCAATATCCCAATGAAAAACAAATGCAGCTGGACCACTGTTCAGTAACCGTTTCTCCAATGTTTTACAATCATCATCACCACTGTTGTTAGTTGATCCAATTAAATGCAATTGTATGGGTGGTAGGCAATTCATGCATAATTTTTGTGCATTATCTATACTAGAATATTTTAATCGGCTAGGCGCTGTAAATGCAACACAACCAGATGAATAGGCTGAATTGACACCACCACAGAATGGTACAGCAAGTGAAGTAAATATTGAATTATGACTAGGTAGACAAGCTAATGAACGAGATTTATACGATGATATTGTTATTGATGGGAGAGTTGAAAAAGATAATGCTAAATACATTGATGGATGATAGACTTCTGTAATGAATTGAGCTTGTTCAAATAGATCTCTAGCTGATTGATCTGTTTCCGTACTACATATTGTATATGAGCATATAAAATGGAATGCATATTAAAATGGGGAAGTATTTTAGCAAAAATTAATAATAGTAATAATGAGAATAATTACGGAATGATATAACAAATCAAGTTCTTGCTTGGTGAACTCACTTCTTAACAGGTGAAATCCATTTGTAGTCTTCATAGTGTAATTCCATATTAGTTTGTTTATTAGATATATCACACAGTCAGTGAAACAGTATTATTCACTGTATGACAAGGTTTCGAACAAAATTTATTATTGTTCATAATCATATCAATTGTAATCACACGACTTCAAAACTTGACTTTTATAGTCTTCCTTGTTCTCTCCTATTTGTCGTCGTAAGGGTACTAGAATTTTCCAGATATCCGGGATATGTATTTGCATTTGATTCGATAAACAAAGCTTTTGTTATCAATCTCTCTCTCCACCCTGTTATTACATTAGATTTTATAACTGTCATCCATTCCCATCCTATTGTGTGGTTGTGTGTGATTGCATGTAATGCTATGGCTGAACTATTCTCTAGATTTCTTATCTTATTTGGGTCAACCAATCTAGATTCGGCTAGGTTTTTATGTTCGGCTAGTCTGACTGTCCCCATTTTACTGGTTTGACCTATGTATTTGACCTGACAATCATTCCAGTATGGTATCAGATAAACTAAATTGTTTTGTTTTAAAGGCTCTACAGGAACCTTTAAACGATAAAGCTCGTTTCTAATTGAGTTTGTGGATGGTTTGAATGCCAGTCACTTTTATTCCTGCCTTGTTAAGAATTCTGCACAAGGCTTCCGAGGTTCCTTCTTTGTATGGAATTACTACTGATGATTTAGATTCCTTATTGTTGGTGTCGTCATTAATATTATTATTATTATCACTATCACTACTATCATTATTTATTTTATTTTTACATTTCCTTACATATTCTTACATATTATTCTTACATATTCTTATATTTCCTTACATATTCTAATTCCCAATTTTAATTTTTATTAATTTGACCTTGACCGGATATTATTCTGGAACTTTCCCATCCATTTGATATAAATACACGAATGTACAGCCTAGATGATGACTTCGTCGAAAAGAAAATTTTCTTCGCTGCAACTGTCTTCTTATTTACTCCTTACATATTTCCTGACTAATTTATCCGGGTAATCATTCAGTTTCAAGGCTTCTTTTATGTGTATCACTTCTTGTCTTAGATTTTTATTGGTATTCCCTAGTTTTTGTGCTCTGTCACTTAGGGACTTCAGCAATCCTATTTTTACTGACATAGGATGGGACGACCGGAAGTTCAAATATCTGTTTGAATATGTGGATTTCCTGTAAACACTAGTGTTTAACTTCCCATCTTCTTTCCTTTTTACGTTGCAATCTAACATTGGAAGTTCCCCCGATTCCTGACTTTTCAATTCATAGTGTACTCAATTAACTGTTAACTTATTGGATAGAATTAAGTTACTCGGTACACAGCTATGAGTTATACGGCACTTTATTTTGTTGTAAGGGTTGGTGATATCACACAGTAGTTGTCCACACTGAATTAGATGAAGAGGGTCGTATCACAGCCAAAAAGGTCATTTAGATGATGACTAGTCTATAATGATGGTGACTGTTACGGTGTAAGTCGATTAAACTATTTTTAGATGCGAACTGCAGGGGAATACAGATATAACAGTGATAAGGTGTTTCCCTTGAACGAATAGCAAGCCAGTTGTGGTAACCTCTCCGCTCTGATGATGACTGTGGGAGGAGGAAAGCCTGAAGACTGTATGGGTATAATCGGGTGTGAGTTTTGCAAATAATGTGTGATTGTGTGTGTGTGTGTGTGTGTGTGTGTGTGTGTGTCAAAAGCCGGCAGCACCCGGTATTCGCAGCCGGTCACCCATCCGAGCACTAACCAGGCGCAACGTTACTTAACTTCGGTGATCAGACGCGAACCGGTGCTTTCAACGTGGCATGGTCGCCGACAAACGCACTCCTCTGTAAATATCACTTCAACACACCACTGCACAATACATACTCACATGCATATATATATATATATATATATATATGTAGCTATGGGCAGTCCACTTAGCCCTGTTTTAGCAGATATCTTTATGTCAAACCTTGAGAAAACAAAGTTGAAGCATTCAATTGATCAAACAACTTCCTGTTGTCGATATGTCGATGACACATTTGTAGTATGCAACAACGAAAGTCATGCCTCCTACCTACTCAGACTATTCAACAACGCACATACAAATATTGTATTTACTATGGAACATGAAAATGATGAACAGTTGCATTTCCTTGACGTCACCATGAAGATGGTAGTGTCCAGAGGTCAATCTAAAGCCCACATGGAATGGAAAATACTTACATTTTAATGGTTTTTGTCCAAATACCTATAAACGAGCACTAGTCAAGACTCTGTACTATAGAGCGAGGAGAATATGCTCTGCAGAGAAACTGGAGGAAGAATTCACCAATCTCGAAAAGGTGCTGAAACACAATGGCTATCCTCAAAGATTCATTAACAAATATAGAAGATGTGAAGGCTCAAATACCAAACAAATCACAGTCGAAAAAAAGCCTGTCTTCATTCAACTAGACTTTAAAGGTGAAGACATTTCAGCAATGGTCAACAGAAGACTGAGGACGTCACTAGCCAGACCCTATCCTGCAGCTAAGTTGGTTCCCGTCCACCGAACAACATGCTCTTTGGTGCAGTCAAAAGTCGATAGATACCCTTCTCATGTTAACTCCAACTGTGTATACAAATTTACGTGTATCTGCGGGAGCAGTTACATTGGGAGAACAGAAAGAAGGGCACACCTCCGATTTCCTGAACATGAACCGAAAAGCCTATATCTCAAGGGAACAAAGTTTTATAATGGCGCTATTACCGGACATCTCCTCAATACGGGTGGTCATGAGGTGGAAATCGCGAAATCCTTTAAAATTATCAATACAACAAAAGAGCTGGATTCTCCTCAAGTTTGCCTGAGCAATTTCTATCAAACGCTTGAAACCAGATTTATGTGTTCAGAAAGAAGCAGTTATTAGTCTTTCCTTGCCTTGGTAACTGGATATCTTTTTTCTCTCATCTGATTACGTATTCTTTGTCTTTAACCTCACTCCCCTTTTATAATCTGTAATTTTGCTTGTCTCTTGTTTCTGTGATTTGAGCTCAACTCAGTACATTGTTACGTAACTTATTAGTCACTATGCATCTAACGCACAGCTCATCTTTATTCTGTAACTTCTTTACCATTGTATGCATACATTTATTTTGTTTTAACTTGAACTGCCTGTGTAAAAACTATATAAGCGCAATTTTCTCAGCACTGTTTACTACTAATTGTAGAACTTTCTGTCAACTGACAACATGTAAAATTTGCAAGTATGTTAAAATGTTTCTGTACGTAAACCTCAAAATTTATTTAGGCTGTAATCAGCAGCTGATGAGAAGCCAACGATATAAGCGCAGGATGGTACCATATTATTTTGCACAAACCACTGTTGTTCTCGCTTTATTCAAACTAATCGATACGGAAATTCACACACTTATTACATAAAAAGTATGACTGTTCACGGTATACACTGAACTCGTAAAGTTAAGAAATCCTGTTTAGATGCTCAAAACGAAGCAGGTGAGGTGGTAGGGTTAAAATCTTCTTTTGCTTATCGCAATATTGTTGAAGACCAAACAGTTAAATGTCCTGATGTGACATGGTGACTAAGGTGTTGTTATTTAGCTCCACGTTTCATGAAATTCTAGTGCATAAAGAATATATAAACAACTGTAGCCACAATCCCTGTCAGTTCTCCGATAACACTGCTTGCTTGCTCCCTTGCTTGATAACCGAATTGATTGAAAAGATTCGAAATAACAGTTAGTTAACTATAAAAGTCACTTTGTTTGCATGCCTATTAAACATTGAGCCTTCTATTACTCTGATATATTCCCTTTTGTGGACATATGTGAATTCGTAACACTGGATAACTGGAAGATCATTTTCTTGAATGTGACCAATACCAAAAAAAAAAACATGAAACCTAGATCCAAGGCTTTTTGTCCACTGCCTTCAACCATCTAACAGATGTTAGAGAGAGAGAGAGAGATCATTGAAAATCATGAACCAACATCAGTCAACGAGCTTAGTCTCGTAACCTGGAGGCCCCTGATTTGATCTCTGGAAGAGTTGTGGGTGTTCACTGTGAAGAGTCCCAAAAAAAAAGAGTGAAACAGTTGTCCGTTGCTCCTTAACTTTTTTCAATGGCCACTTTAATTCATATCGGTTCGTGACAAATATCTGAAACTTTGAATTACTTCATTGAGAAAATAGATCCAAAAAACGTTTCATGCCCGAAAACTGCAGCTTATATTTCCCACACAACCGTTGTGACTCCAAAAATAAAACATGAAGTACCTAGGCTAGTCACCTCTAATTGTATATATTAATTCAACTATTCCTGTGGAGTCAATTTATATTAGCCACCGTTCTAGCAATGTAATTTTTCGTCCTCGGAAACACCTATTAGTGTGATTAAACAAAGATGTTTCTAAAACCGTTAACAGTTCTGTATTTGACAACCTCGTTCAACACAGGCCACAAAGCTAACACTGAGGAATCTTTTTCTATCATCCACTGGGTATCAAATAAATTATCAAAAGCCACTAGATAGCAAACATTAAAACAGGAGACGTCATTGCAATTCTCCTAAGACAACCAGAGCTCTATGTATGAAAGAAACAGGTTCGACAGCCACTACTATTGCTAGCCTGATCTGCTATCCAACCAATACATTCATAAATTGTGTTACTTCTCTTCATTTTTCTGATATTCATTCACTTGAGTGTGATATCAATGCATATTATCTCTCTCTCTCTCCCTTTCTTACTGATGCTTTTGAAATGTAATCTGTCGACAATATTAATTCAGTGTCATTCAAACTAACAATCATGTTGTCAATAATGCTACTTCATAAATTATTACTGTTATCGACATTAAGACCGCAGAAGACGAAAAATGTTTATTAGGAAATTGGTATCTCTAAATAGCCAAATTATGTATACCTTATCTTCAAAGTACCATTTGCACAAGTCTTCGTGTTGTGGTACTACTGGACTTCATGGCGTGTGTTTTCTTTGTGTTCATTTCACGTCTCCCATGTATCTCCACAACGTTGCATCATTTGCCTTCTCATAGATCAAATGTATCTCCCTGTTATTTGCTGTTTTTCTGCCGATGAATACCTCTTTATATACACATATATATATGTATTACTGACAAATCTTATCAGTAGTACTTGCCACAATATCACAATTAATACACTTGGCAGTTGCGCTAACGAATTCCCAACCTAGTCGATTTGAGAGCCTATTGTTCTAACCCCTATTAGCAACAACAACAACAACACGATACGATAACAACCAAAAAGGCGACGCAAGACGACAAGAGGAGAAGACATACCATTGACGTTGAGTGTTTTCACCGTCTCGTGTCAGCTGATAAATTAAAACAGTCAACAACCAATAGGATCCCAAGGTCATAAACGGAATGAGGGAAATACAACTAGCCGTGTAAAAGTAAAAATGTTGTGTTAGGAAAATTAGGTCTATTAATGTAGAAACTTGAACTACGGCAAAAAAAATGTGTTTTCCCATTCGATGAACCAAAAATCTTTTAAAAAAAAATAATACCAATTTTTGATGCATCAAATAAGCCACAAGAGTACATAACATACCGTTCTAAACATCCCATTGCTATATCCCATATTGTTACACTACCGTCTAAATAAGCAATGAATAACAGGTCTTCAGCAACTCTCCAACCAACAGCTACAACTGGACATAATGCTACACTACTTGTATTTCGTGCATACAATATAGGCCGTTGTTCTTTTAAATTAATCAACCAAACAGAACCATCTAAACTGAATGAACAGATGCAAGCCTTAGGAGAAACAGAGAGGGAGAGACAGAAAAAGAAAAGAAACAATGTGAACATTCTTTTTTCTTCTTTGTACATATATTACTAAAAAGCAGAAAAAAGGAAGTAGTATAATTCAGGGGAAAATATTACTTTATAACTTGGCATAGGTGTGATACTATAAAAAAGGAAGCTTTCAACTGGAACTATAACATGCTAACATAAAGAAAAACCCACAAAACTAAAAACAAAACAATCCTCAATGCTGATTCCTTCACATTCCTTTCATATTTCCGAGTCGTTTATCAGGTAGATACGACAAACACACACAAACACAGACACACAAGTCCAGAGTGAGGATAAGTACTCGCCACCGATGACATTGGCTGCCGCTAGTCGCACTAAAATCACAAAATGTGATAGAAGTTATCAATTCATGAACTATCCGATCGGGTCCCAGTGGTTGAATTGTCCACAAACCCACTTTTTAGTAATCGGTAGGTCTTGGTCTCCGAAAACCCGCCGCCGGCGTCGGGGGCGTACTGCCGATGAGCCGCAAAAAAAAAAGAACTAGGACGACATAGCTGCCCAGTAATCCTTGATGGTTTTCAATGGTTCTTTAAACTGATATCAATCTGTGGTCAAACTTGAAACATTTCTCCCCCACCCCTCTGAAAACTTGAACATTGGAAGTAAGACTATTGTTAGCGCTAATGAATATGCACTAAACAAAAAACCTGAAACTAAAAGCCTAACAGACACATACTGTGAACAATTTAAACGCGTTCAAAATAATGAACAGGTAAATGAGACATAGCTTGCTACATCTTTCTGAAGTAATCACTAGTAAACAGAATCTAGGTAGACCGAAAAAGACAATGATAAACCTTGCACCCTACCTCAATGATTACACCTACGTAACAAAGGTATATGATGCTCAAAAGTTGGTTACAAATGGAATTTGACTGGTTACAGTTACAAGTTTCATCGCAAACTGAGATGAGTTAGAGAATCACAACGGGAAACCACCAGGGACCACTGGACAGCTTCTACATCCGGGTTTGGGAAATTTCACCAGCACATACACACAACATCAACGTTCGAAAACAAGGAACTCCCAGCTGAAAGGCGCAGGGAGTTCGTGGACCACCCACCCACGCACCCACTGGGACCCAATCAGGTGATACATGAACTTCAACTTCTGTCAATTCCCAACATATATATAAATAACGCGACCACCACCAACCAATGAACAGTTTTTACCACTCCAAGTATCATTTGTCACTTCGGAGGCAGTTTTGTTATCCAACCAGTTACACTAACATAGCATTTATAGTTAAATTTTATTTCTATTCAAAATATTTCAACTATGCACCCCCCCCCACCCTTTTTATCCTAAGAAGATTTGTCTACTTATCTACTTCCTAAATGCTACGTGTAGGGCTTCCACAAACTCTAGGATACGTCCTAAACACGTTCTCTATAGGTTAGTTTAAAAGACGTGTAAACATCAATTTTATATCCTGTCTCTATAATATGTAATTTAATCTATAATATGAATATATGTGTAGACACACAAACATAGAAGTGAGGACTCATCGATCTATGCAAGTAAGCTGGTTTCACAGCATATTCTTAAATGCCTTCAGAAGCAAATAGAATCCATAGAACCTATTAATGGTGAGAACAGGCAACCTAGCTCATCTATTGTCAAACATATTATAGAGACAAGACATTTACACCTATCTATCTATCTATCTATCTATAAAACGTGTTTGGGGCGTATCCTAAAGTTTGTGGAAGCGCTCTAGCTGGCAATTAGGAGGTTTGCATCACCTTTATGCGTTCAAAGCAACAATACGTCATCACACTAAACCTTCCTTGGTAAACTTTGTTTTGATACCAGCCAAGGTAGATGCAATTCTTAGGTTGTAAGCTGTTGAAAAGAATCTACAAAATAATAATGATAACAATAATAATAATAAGTTCATATTATATCCTGTTACCGTCTGTTTTTTATACTTTGCTGCTGCCCGCAACAAAAATCCTTAACATAATATATATTCAGTAAGATAAAATCTTATTTGTAGGGTCTTAGACAGACTGAAGGATGAGCATAAATGGAAAAATATATCTTATCAGATGACAGGTAACAATATTACAGTCAATCAGTGTTAGTTAGTGAGAACTGAGTCACCCGGTGTGCATTGTTGATTCAAGGGATAGAATGTTCAGCAACCAGACACCACACATGATCCAGGGAGTTCGATTTCCAGCCGATGAACCCCCAGGAACTCATCTAATCGATATTCTCCCCTGTAAAGAGGGAAGTTTGAAAGTAGGACTAGTAACCTCACTCCTTAAAAATCACTCGGAACGCAAAGGAATGAAAGAGGGAGAGAGAGCTGGTGCGGGGGGGGGAGTTACTCGACAGGGTCGAGTCACATCTGATGTGACGGTAAATAATGATGCTATCCAGTTGCACAGGCTAAATCAGATGGAACGGGACTTCATCACTACTAGAGACCCACTGATTGAAAGGTGAGTTGCTTAAGACGTTCACAATAGATAAAAAATCAATGAATATATCAATAAATAAATAAACAAATAATAACAATAAATAAATAACTCAAATAACTAACCGAAAGTCTTGGATTCCCAGCGACCATATTAATTACAGATTTTACAGGCGGAGCAATTGTTAAACCAATACACGGTGATGCATGACATCGATAAACAGCTAAGCACAAAGATTTGTTACTACGACTATTATTATTAGTATTATTATTAGTATTGTAGCTGTTATTACTGCTTGAAAACTTTCTACTGCTATTCATGGATTTATTGCTGTCAGCAGATTCATGCCATGGATTTAACTCCCATAGACGAACGGTACAATCCACTCCACCGGATAATAAGTGATCAGGATTAAAATGATAATTTGTAGTAGAATTCATACTACTATTAACATTATTAGTAGTATTAGTAGAAGAATTAGTAGCAGAATTACTGACGTCATTGTTATTACTAGTAGTAATAGTAGTAGGCATAGCATTTTCATTAATATTCCCCGAATTCGCATAGAACTGCCTCTCATAACTAGCTGGATGCAACAGACTTGTCACTGGACCAATATGACCTGTCAAACAAAACTTTGACAATAATCGATTATGTTGATTCAACAGTGGCAGGGATTCTTCGTATGGAGCTTTATTTTCATCTGAGGCATAACTTTTTTCCCAATATAGCGTTTTTAAAAAATCAACCATACGTACAATAATAATACGTCCATTAGATAAACCAAAAGCCAGTCGATATGGATGAATTGTAGGCCGACGGTCGGGGAGACGATGATGACAGATTATCTGTGTCAATTGAATGCATACAGTTACAGAGATTTTCTCCTCATTGGTATCAGGCAATGCTGTTGATGGTGTCCTATGAGTGGACGAATCAGGCGGTAATAATGATGATGATGATGATGATGATGATGATGACAATGCGGGATTCATGAGATTGGCATGGTATTTAGGATCTGTAATAGAACTCTATAGAAGAATAGTTAAATAGAAAAATAAATTTACAGAAGTGAATAGATACACACAGGCGGCGAAGAAATCAAATGTTATATACATCTGCTGGATGGTGACTAGCAGTGTAGACTAGGATGAGCATTTCGTCCTATCTGAGACTCGCTATCTGGACATACATCCATCCTCAGTGAGTAATTGTGTTCCTACGGAGAGTTGAACCCACTGACCATCGTCTCAAACGCCAAAGTCACTGGGCTACAAGAGCCACGTCTTGCGCAATAAACCTCGGTTATTATTTATGATTGATTGAATCGACTGAAATATTTCGCCTAACAGGAGAATACAGCTACGTACATCCAGATGATGGGTCGTCCAAAATAGGATGAAATGCGCATCCTGGATCCTAATGATAGTCATCATCCCCCAAATTACTTCAAGTAAATCTTCAGGCATCATCAGAGCATCAATACCAGGAGTTGACATGTCAAAAGAGGCTGAACATCTCTCGGTGCAATCAATCAGTCAACACGTATAGCATGTGTCCGATCCATCTGCGTTTTCTTCTGCATTTTAGATGGTTGGAGGTAATTGGCCACAGGAAGCCCTACCTGACCTAAGTTTCGTGGTAGATGGCACTCACCAATCAGAAAGGCGTATCTGCAACCTTGAAGAAACTCATATCTCTTCTGAAAAGTGAGGCAGTAGCTCATCGAACAAAACATTGTCAGAAGTTAGAATTCATGAGCTGGACATTGGATCTGGTCCCAGTGGCTTAGTAGTCTTTGAATTAGCTCGCTTTGTAACCAGAAGGTCCTGGGTTCGAACCCCCTGTGGTGGGTGAGTACTGATGAAGAGTTTCAAACTAGGCTGACGAGACAGCTGTTCAGTAATTACTCCAGCATTGGTTTTCCAATGGTTCTCTAACTGATATCAGCTCATGATGGAATCCTTTAACCAATCAAACAAAAGTAACTACAAAACGAATACTCGAAGAATATATATATATGACTCAGCAATTTTAACAAAATACTTCCTTCCTGATAGGGATAAAAGCGAACCACTTACTGTCAAAAACGTTGCTATATCGGGTGGTGTATATCGCTTCCATACACTATGAAGATCACTAGACATCAACGGTGGAATGGTTGAAATGCCTAAAAGTAATAATAATAATAATAATAACAATAATAATAATAGTGATAAATCACAATGATACCAAAGATTAAAATTTAAGCATCAATAATAATAATAACCATAATGACACCTACTCAACTCAACTTAACGACGACTTGAATTTCAATGAAGTTGACAATGAGTGAATAGCGCTATTGTGTCAGGGACTAGTGAAACCACATGGTTGACTAAAACTCAATAAATAGAGGAGACTTCAAATACGTGATCTAGTGGTTGGATATTAGGAGACTAGATAAATGAGCCACAGTTCAAGACGTTGACACCTAATAGTTAACGCACACAATACTGGTTTATCACACTAGCACGAAGTTATTATCCATGACTTAGTGAATTCAGGTGGCTTTCACCTACGCATATCTGTCTGTCTGTCTGTCTGTTTTCGACATAGAACTTTGCACAAATGTGCGGAAGTTCAAGTCGCCACATTCCGTGTAGCACGCGAAGCAAGAGAAGAAAGTACAAGAAAAGCATAATAGAAACAGTGAGCAGAGGTGTGAGACAAAGGAGTAATAAAGAAAACAAAACAGTTTCATTGGAGATCATAAGTCACAAGGAGTGGATGCATCTGCGCCACTGAGAACGATTTTGAGCCATGTCACCAATTGTTTCCAACCATAGATTTTTACCGTCCCGAGGACCCCAGCCTGGAAGTCTACACCTTTCTACGTGGCTTAGACCAACTGTTGTGGATTTCATTGACTGGTGCCAAGTTTTTGTTTGACCGCCGCTAGCTTTTTTCCAGCCTGACCCTATATCCGCTAACATTGCTCGTCGAGGGAGGCGATGGCTTGGCATACGTAACACATGTCCTAACCATCTCAGTCTTTGTAGCTTCACGACTTCGTCGATTGATTTCCCCTGTTTACCTAGAACTCTACGCCTAACCTCCATGTTGCTCACCTTATTATGCCACTTTACACGGGAAATAGAACGCAGGCACCTATGATCAAAGACAGCTAGTCTTTTCATGTCTTCCACTCTCAGTGGCCAGGTCTCACAACCATAAAGGAGGACGGAGCGGACTGATGAGCAGTACACCCGCCCTTTGGTCGATAGTCGAACATCTCGTCTACGCCAGAGTCGGCGTAAACTGGCAAATGCGAAACGAGCCCCCTGTATTCGTGCTGAGATTTCGTCAGAGATCAACCCGTTGGGGCTGATGGTACTTCCCAAATAAGTGAAGCGGTCAACGTGCTCTACCACTTCACTTCCTATTTTTAAACTAGGCGTCGATGTAGTCCAGTCCTGTAACATCATCTTGCATTTGGCGGGAGCGAATCGCATGCCAAACATTCGTAGATTGCGGCTCAAGGTGTTTAGAAGACTCTGCATTTCGTCAGCGTCTTCGCCTAGAAGGACTATATCGTCTGCATATTCCAAGTCAACGAGATTATTCCCGGTAGCAAGTCAATCCCTGAGTCGCTGAAGTCACCTAGGGTTAAGTCCATTAACACATCTATGATGAAGTTGAATAGAAAAGGAGATAATGGGCATCCTTGACGGACACCACTGGTCGTCATCAGTTCAGATGACAGCTCGCCGTAAGCCCTCACCTGGCTGTATGAGTACGAGTAGAGTGCCTTAATCAGTGCAATATATTTTCTCGGAATTCCCTTTACAGCCAAGCATCTCCAGAGAACTTCTCGATCGACAGAGTCGAATGCTGCCTTTAGGTCAAGAAATATAATGACTGTTGGACGCCGGTAGGAATGCCTATGTTCTAGAATCTGTCGGAGGGTGAAGATATGATCAATACACCCTCTTCCTGGTCTAAAGCCTGCCTGGCTCTCTCGTGTTTGTGCTTCCCGAGCACCACTCAGTCTACGCATGATTATTGAGCCTAAGACTTTAGATACTATATTAGTCAAGCTAATCCCTCTGTGATTATCACAGGAAGACTTGTCTCCCTTCTTGTATATGGGGATAATCAGTGACTTACACCAACCCGATGGGACTTCTTCTGATTCCCAGACGCTGCCTAGTACCTCAGTTAATGCCGACAGTAAGCTGTCTCCACCGTACTTAAATACCTCTGGCGTCATTCCATCAGGTCCCGCTGCTTTGCCTAGTTTCAGATTGGTGACAGCTTTAGTAACCTCAGTTAGGGACGGAGGACCTGTGTCTATATCCCATTCAGGGAGGTGTTGGATGCTCGGAAGGTTGAGCGTGGCTGTGGGCCAATTAAACTGCTCCTCATAATGCTCTTTCCAACGATCCAGTCGTCTATCCTGTGAGCTAATTATAGTGCCATTTTTTTCCGAGATTGTCTCACTGATGATTTGTCTTCTCCCACCCGTTTCCCTGATGAGTCTAAAGAGTTGCCTGGTGTTGCCTATCCTACGCATATATTACACGAAGGCTGATGATACTGTGATAAGAGCTGTCTGCTAGCCAAAAACGGCAGACAGCAATTTACATCAATGTTTACGTCCGAAATCTTGGTTATGAGAAGAGAACAAGAACAAAGACTAACCTTGAAGAACTCAACAACCAATCACAGCAGACTAAACGTGTGCGGATATCATTCACAATATATATGGCTTAACTTTCTAAGAAACGGCCACAAAGGGGTAAACAGAATAACCTTCAGAAGGAAGACAACTAGTCATAAGACGCTGCTTCTATGCTAACAATAACGAATAATAACGTACATAAAAATCAATAATTATGTGTTGATTTTTTCAATAAACAATCGGTTGCCTGGTTGTAGTCTTCTGTCGTTACAATACCACCTAGTTTTTATGGCCAAAGTAGAGGCAGAAGGACTCAAAACCAGAAACTCAATAACTGAAAGTCGGATGCTTGCAGCAATCAACCCCCCCCACCCCACATCAACATGGTTTAGTTAACTGCAAAGTCCATTATTCAGACACAAATACTAACTGCAAAAAAATACCTACCGACTTTCACCATGTCCTGATAAAGTAATTGCAAGTAAGCCACCAAAGGAATCGACTTTATATTACAAGAGGGTAAGTGAATCTATCTATTCAACTAAATAGTAATATGGATTGCAAAACTACTTCAAAAAATTCCAATACAATTTCATTTTCTTTTTCGATAATAAGGCACAGCATCTCAAACACAGACGATTTCACGGACAACTGGCCAATTCGAATGCATCTTTCAGTTACCCAAATCCTAACTCTACTGAATGGTTGAATGCCACCCAAGTAATAGTATTTTCGTTAGGTTACGTGATGTAATATAACTACTTAAGACAACTAGTTCCATTTATGAATTTTATCAGACAAAGGAATAAGAAGATGTAAATTGTCTGAATCGTGTAATGTGTATTCTCTCACTACACATTTAGAACAATCTGATCCATCACACACGGACTTGTCATTAGAATACATATATGAAATCAATCAAGAGTTAAGAGGTGAGATAATAAACGGAGATCAATAAACCAAATAACAGAGTTAATACTGAATCTACCCTAGCTAGTATCAAAACAAAGTTTACCAAGGAAGGTAGATTTAGTGTGATGACTAATTGTTGCTTTGATCGCATAAAGGTGGTTTAAGTCTTCTAATTGCCAGCTAGAGCGCTTCCACAAACTTTAGGATACCCCCCAAAACGTTTTATAGATAGATAGGTTTAAAAGAGGTGTAAACATCAATTTCCTGTCCTGTCTCTATAATATGTTTGGCAAAAGACGAGCTAGGTCATCTTTTTTCCACAATTAATGGTTTCATTGGATTCAATTTGCTTCTGAAACCGTAACTTGCAAAGATCGATGAATCCTCCGTGTGTAAGTGTGACCACATGTATATTCAAATTGTTAGACATCACTTTTCATATGTTCTAAGGGCTCAGATGAATATATCGGCTTCACATTCTCAATTATCCGAATCTTAGCTGTATAAAAAGTCTTTTTAACCGCAGCGTTCAATTTTTGTCTAGTTGTGAAGCTGCTATGATAACCCAGGCTTAGGATAGCTTGATGTACACGTCTTTCTAAAAGGCGAACTGGAGAGTGGGTCTTGGTGTCTGGCTACTTTATATCTCCTAATGAACGTGTTTGGATAATAACTATCAACCAGAGTTTCTGTCGACTTTCTTTCTTCCTAATCGAGTGTGTCTTCAGTGCATATTTGTCAGAATCCCCAGAACCCATTGATAGTGAGAACACGTGACCTAGTTCCTCTGTTGAGAAACATATTATACAGACAGGAAATAAAATTGATGTTTACACCTCTTTTACACGTGTTAGGGGCGTATCCTAACGTTTATGGAATCCCTAATAGTGAGACAGTTTAAACCAACTTTATGTTTGCCGAAACAACTCATGGTCACTAGAATTTAATTAGTGGATGGTTACCAGCAGTGGAATCCAGGATGAGCATTTGTCACCATCCACCAATTAAAATCTAATTACATGCCCGGACATCGTCGAAGCATCAACAAAAGAAGTCGACATGTCAACCTGAGACCGAGCCCTTCGGTCCAATCAATCGACGGAAAAATCTAAAATTATATTCATCGTCACATTAAACATTCCTCGGTAAACCCTGTTTCCATATCAGGGTAGATGTACTATTACCGCTGTTATTTGGCTTATTGATCTCCATTATTATTTTAACCTTCAACAGGTCCTTTTAACTTGACCTAAATTTAAATTTTCAACTCTTAACTCTTGATTGATTTCATAAATATATTCCTATGACAAGTCCGTGTGTGATGGAACAGACTGTTCGAAATGTGTTGTGAGTGAATACACATTACACGATTCAGACAAATTACGTCTTCCTTTTTTTTCTTGTCTAAAACAACTACGTAAATGGCTGAAATTTCTAGTCATATTGACTTTTTCAAAGGAAATAAGAATGAATCTTTGCCTTCTAAATAGGTCTTCTGAATGTTTCACAGTGTGGAACCAGTGGACTAGTGAACAGCTATATTGTATTGTTATGTGTTAGGGTACCAGTAGGAATGTACCCAAATCACGACATCATTCCAGGATTATTCCACGTTATAACAGTTATAAAATAATAAATCCGCATTCAAAATAACCATAAACATAGGATAATGAAGATATTTTAAATCTAAGAACCGCTTCTAATCATTTTTTCAAGTGTTCTTATATTCACACACACACACATTTGGCGTGTTCATGAAACAATAAGTCATACGCCTTCCAGGAAGTACTGCATAGGTGTTTCGCGTCTAAGTTTCGCAAACTGGCAGATTTTGAAATTTATACACAATTAGATCGGGTCCCAGTGACTTAGTGCTCCGGGAGCTCACCTTACAGGCGGAAGCTCCTGTTTTAAAATGCAAGTGGATGTGTACTGCTGAAGAGTACCGGACTAGGGTCAAAAAGACGCTGTCTCGTACCCAGTGGGAGTGATCAAACATGTATCAACTAATTACATTGCGGGTTTATATACCGTCTGTCTGACTGGTAGATGTGCGAATTTCTATTATTTTGATAATGCAAAGTCACCACTACAATCTTCATCGTTCTTGTATGATTCCGTGTACAAGATCCATTTAGTACTTGGTAAAGAAAATTACTTCTAAATTTCATTACAAAGCAACAGTACAAAAATGTCTTCCGAGTGAGCGTTCGCTTCTTTGAAATAGAGATTACATCATGACATACTTTTTACACATTACACATACGAAACTGGACAACTTTTAAATCGTAGTCAAGATAATAACTAAGTTAGGACTCATCATCAGCACGCATCCTCTGGGTTTCAAACCCAGGACCTTCCACAGTTACACGGCCAACTCGTATACCGCTCAGCCACTGGGACACGATTCAATGGCCAATGAATTCTAACTTTTAAAAAATTTGTGATTTTAGCATCACCAACAACCAACGTCATCAGCGGGAATTCCATACTCAGTGGGTGGCGAAACAAAAACATGGCCTCATCAATCCATGAAATCCTTGACAGTTAAACTGAGTCAGGTAGGGAGATTCAGACTTCCGGGTTGGGGCCCTCGGGACTCTAGGAATCAATGGCGGGAGACAATAGGTGACATGACTCAAAATCGTTGTCAATGGCCAGCGCAGATGTATTCAGTCTCTGTAATCTTACATATTCCTTTCTACCATTACCCATTCTGTTTCACTCTTATACTTGTCAAACTCTATAGATTCTCTTCACTCATCTTCTTGTCTACCTCTGTGAGCTATTTGGAACGTGGCAACTCGAACTGGTGCACTTCGGTGCGAAGTTCTATGTTGAATCCAGACAGACAGACTCAATGGGTGGGTGCCGCCGATGAGTCCCAGAAAAACTAGGACAAAAAAGCTTTCCAGTACTCGCTGGTTATCAACGGTTCTATAAGTGATATCAATCTGTTGTGTAACCAACCTGAAACAAATAGAATCCCTACAAACTGATTACTGATAATAACTAAATGTTTCGTTAAAATCGCCTACGGTAAAGAATATCATCGTGGGAAACATCTCAATCACAGCGCACAAATTCATTGTTACCTATTTTGTCAGTCATAACAGAAAGGCTTTTGGCATTATACTAACTCTAACGTAATCAAAATTAATTTAATCATTTATTTAATGAAGAGTATTAGTGGAATCCACAATGCACGTCGCCTGTTTTTTTTTTGTGTGTGGCGGGGAGGTAACGTTAGCTGGATGTAACTGTGTGCTGATTGAGTGATGAAGACCCTATTGAGACTAAAACCTAATAGCTATCTTCTTGGATACCAAGGCTCTATCCACTGGGTCAAGAGAACCAGCCACCTTTTTTTGTTTAACGAGTAATAATAGCTGTTATTTGTTCGAATAGCTGTTTGCACAATTCCCCGATGATTGATTGGATATTGGTCTCTGTTGACACGTCAGCGCCAAGTACGAACGCTTCAATAATATTCGCATGTTAACAGGATTTCATTTGGTTGAACTGTGCATCCAGCAATCTACTGCTAGTCAAGAGAATAATAATATTCAACAGGAATGATAACCAGTTTTTGTCAAGGTGTTCAGAATCATTTGAAAAAACACATCATCTACTTATAAGTAGTTAGATAATTTTATTAGAAAATATAATTTTCAAGAGTTTGTAGGGATTTGATTTGTTTACACGACTTTGATCACGGATTGATATTCTGGGATTCATTGGCAGTAAGCAACCACCGAGTTTAGAACCCAATGCTTTCAAATAGGTGTCCCTAACTAATATCAATCCTGAATCAAACTTGAAACAAAGCAAATCCCTACAAATAAACTCTAGAACGTTAATCTGATGCTCTCCAGTGACTGACTACAGTTCTAGTGAGAAGTCATTTCCAGAAGAGTTCATCCGGTCGGGAGTGAGGACAGATACTCTCCCACCCCTCAATGACATTGGCTTGCGGTCGCGCTAAAAAAATCACGAATTGATAGAAGTTGGAATTCATGAGCCACCCCCCCCTCCCCAGTGGCTGATTGATCTAGTAGCTTGACTTGCAACCACAAGATCTTGGGTTCGAACTCCGGAAGTGGGTACGTACTGCCAAAGAGTCTCAAACTAGGGGGTGAAACAGTTGTCCAGGGTATTCCCTCATGGTTTTTAATGGTTCACTAACTGATATCAAATTTGAAGAAAATATAAAATATTATGAATCTTACTTCTTCTTCTTCTAGATGATATATCATTTGATCCGATTTGATGATCAATATTGGACAGGTAGGCATCAAGTTTTATACACCATGTTAACAGCTGGCCATGAATATTCCCTGCTATCATATACTGGAGGTCATCATTAGGATGAATAAATGCTGGAGTAAAACAACTAAAACTCTGTACAGTAGTATTGGTTGGATTCAGATCGACAGTTTCTTCGCCATTGCTGCTTCTGTTGTTGTTATTATTAATATTATTAGCATGATAAGGCTGAAATGATAAGATATGCATGAAAAACAGAGAAAGTTGTAAAATATACAGACGATGATTTCATTTATTTCAAAAAAGGGGAGATTAGAGCAAGACTACACCCTGATTGCAGCAGATGGGATAACGCGACAGACAGCAGCGGGCAACGAGGAAACAGGCATAAAATGGACCCTCACAAAAAAATTGGAGGATCTGGACTTCGCCGATGATATATATATATATATATATATATATATATATATATATATATATATATATAATTTCCCACTAACTGGAAGATAGGCAAGTGAAAAGCAACAAGTTGGCGATAGTAGAAACATCAAAGATAGGACTTCACGTAAACGCAGAGAAAATAGAGGTGATAAAGATTCCCGGACAACATTAACTGCAACAACAACAGACAACAATCAGCATAAGTGGGAGGAATCTGAAAGGAGCAACCTCCTTTAGCAACTCACCCACCTGCCTACCTGGGAAGCATCGTTTCAACTACTACCGGACGGAACTGACGAGGATATCAAAGCAAGAATCGGGAAAGCAAGAAAAGCTTTCATTACTCTCAAGTCTATGTGGAGATTAACACCACTCAGCATGAAAAATAAGATCCGGATTTTCAACTCCAATGTAAAGTCAGTCAGTGCTATTATACGGATCAGAGACTTGGCGCGTCATAAACAGCACCTCAAATAAAATACAGACCTTCATCAACAGCTGTCTTCGCTCAATACCACTGAAGATCAGATGGCCGTCCAGAAAAGGTTAGAAACAGGGAGGGATCTCTGGCAATGAAACAACAAACCAACCCAGCAGGAACAAATTGTGCAACAAATATGCAGGAAGAAATCCAGTTGGTGGATTGGATTGGCCATACTCTGAGTAAACAAACCATCATCAAGTGAATCACACGCCAGGCCATCGCTCGAGCGGAACCCGAATGGGAAGCGGCGAGTTAGTCGGTCGTCATTGCGAGGGTGACATTGAGGAGGAGATGATGTGAGAAGGAGATGGCAGCATGTGGGCAGACGTGGAGCCAGGTGAAAACGTTGGCGGAGAACCGAACGCAATGGAGATGTGGGGCTGAAGCCCTATTTTCCTCTAGGAACTAAAGGAAACAATAATAATGTCAAGCTACTCAATGCTTCTATACGATTCAAAGGCTTGGCAAGCACGTCACTAAAGGTATTTCGAATAGGCTTCAGACGTTTCTTTAACAAACTTCGTCGTTGAGGTTTCAGTAGTAGTGATGTTGTTCCCTATTAGGAGGCAAAGTTACTAGCCTCAAAGCACGCCCTCAATTTTCCCTCTTTACCAGGCTTAGATGGCGGGCTAGGTGAGGTTTAGGAGTTTGTCTGTCGGCCGGGAATTGACCACCCGGACCCACGCGAGTATTTCACCAATGAACCATTTGATGTACAATACATAATATATACATAGCACACATATAATTACCAGAAAAATTATATACACACTTACAGATAAGGTGGCTATATGTACTGGAATATCTGAGCACACAGATTCACCTGATTGAACAATAAGACTACAAGAGAGAGAGAGAAAGAGTGAGAAATGAGAAGAAAACACAGAGAAACCATGAGGAGCAGTAAAGAAAGGTAGGTCAATAAAATGAAACATAATGTTACTTAGTTGAAGTCGGGTAGGATAGCAGTAGGAGATCCAGGATGTATGTATCATCATATGTGAAACGGACTCCTCTTCATATGGATGCACCTGTGTCCCCCCTTCGCCTCTAAAAGTGAGTGGTGGTGTTCTCACTGAGACATTAAACTCAACAATCACCGTATTGAAACGTTAAAGGGCAAAATAATCAACTGATCGACTAATATCTCCTTAAAATGTCAATATTAATCGATAAAGTAATAAGAACTGAGCAACATTAGATACAGTATCAATTCTGAAATAGTGGAGAAGGTTAGTAGCTCAGGTGGATGCTTTTAAGTGTTCCTTCGACCTCTACAAATAGATGGCTTAATCGAGAAGTTTCCGTTGTCCATTCTAACAATATATTCAGCGCTAAGGTTTAGAAACTTTTCATGGGTGAAGTATTTGTCTCTTCTGCTGAACACTGACTGTAGTAACTGGTTATTCCCATAGGTATTTTCTTTATAACTGTATACATTCTTAGTGATAATGAACCTTTCAGTCCTGTGAACTATCTTTTTTCTATTGATTGACTAATTTGATCGATGTCAACATATCTATCAATTGCAAATTGAATCAGTGGCTGACTGATCGACTGATTTTCAAAATAGAACTCAGCACAGAAATGCAGCAGTTCAGCAGCAGTTGCCACACACACCCCATGTAATACACAATGTATGCCTAGTCATCCCCTTCCTCGACAATGGGCAATGTTAGCTGATATAGGGTCAGGCTGGAAAAGAGCTAGCGGCGATAACTAAAACATGACACCAGTCAATGAAATCCACAATAGTTAGTTTAAGTCAGCCACATAGGGAGGTGTCGACTTTCTGACCGGTTGGGGTCCTCAGGACGGTAAAAACCAATGAAGGCTGGGGACAATTGGTGATATGACTTAAAATCGTTCTCAATAATGACGCAGATGCATTCACTCCTTGTGACTTATAAATTCCAATGAAACTATATCGTTCTTCGTTATTACTATTCCTTTGTCTCACACCTCTGTTTAGTGTCTCTATTATGCATTTCTTATACTTTCTTCTCTTGCTTTGTGTGCTACAGGAGGGAGTGTGGCGACTTGAACTGCCACAAATCAGTGCAAAATTCTATGTAGAAAGCAGACAGACACACAGAATACACAATGTTAGACAAAATAGAGGAAAGAAGGATTCACAAAACCCATAATAAGTATAAATGTACTAAGAAAATACTAGCATAGAAAAACCAGGAGGATTTTTTAATGAATATGAGAGAACACAAGGAATGAATACATCTGTGTCATTGTGAAAAATTTCCAACCATATCGCCAAATGTCTCCAGCCGTTGGTTCTTAGAATCCCGATGACCCAAACTAGGCAGCCTACACCTCCCTACATGGATGACTTATATCAACTATCAAAGACCGCATTGGTTAATGACAGGTTTCGGTTTTTACCTATTCTAAGTCTTTACCAAATCAACGATATGACGACTAACATTACCCGTCGAGTTTGGCGTTAGTTCAGCCTTCACAAAACGCGTCCTAGCCATCTCTCAATCGATTCACCTTACCCTTCTTATCTAACATTCGATTTTTATTTTATTTTATTCCTTTACGTTCCAGTGGAACACAGGGGCTTTAATTCAGAGTTTGGAAGTTTCGGTGTAGCCGTGGTGTTCATTTTTACGGGATGAGGTTGCTAGCCTAATGTTCAACCTTTCCTCTTCGCAGTCTTATTACCAGATTAGCGAAGTAAATGACTGCGTCGGTGGCCGGGGATCGAACCCTGGACCAAATGAGTGGTTGGCGAGCTAAGCCACCGACGCCTAGCCTAAAATACCACTCACCGTAGTACATCATCTGTAATCAAAGAAAAAACTAGCCTTTTCATATCTTCAATTTCAATGGCCACACCTCACAACCAGAAAAACAAGGACAGAGAGAACTGGTGATCAGTACACACGTTATTAAATCGATACACTGAGATATCACATCACGCCGGAGATGCCGAAATTTGGCAAAAGTTACATGAGCCTTTTGTATATTATTATAGTGAGATTTCGTCAGGAATCAGTCCATTACTATGCTGTTACTAGGATGAAAAGGACCTCTGTTTTCACTAGACTAGTGGATCTAGAAAAAACAACTATTAATCATAATGAAGGTTACAAGAAGAGAGATAAAGGTCCCATGATCATGAGTAATTTCCAAAGCTTACTCACATTAAATGGAAGTTAAAGGTGTGCGCTTCGTAATCAAAGCATTCACAGTCCAGGAAAAACATAATACCTCCAAAAAAAGTATTAATTGGCATAAATCACCAATGATATTTTCAAAATACTTTGGGCCACACACACACAAACAAACAAACAGACAGACAGACACACTAAGTAGGCATATACATTTCCTCTGTTTATCTTCGAACTCTGAATATATCTGTTTACAATAGACGATGTTAAATTACACTAACCACACCTCAGATATTCTCATATAATTAAAAGCTTTACACGACTAAGCTGGACATTGATCATTGCTACACACAGTGACAAATTAATGAACACTATACAAATCTTAATAAATGATCTTTTTTTAAAAAAAAATAATAAAGACATTTAAGTATACCACGTATACTTAAAATATTCTAAAATACGAGATGAGTAGAGAGAAAAACAATATTGATATGTGCTACCTACCCCACCTCACCCGACCACCACCTCACTACCACCCACCCCCCACTGAGTGTTGAATAAACAATAATCGCCTGATAAGACAAAACATCTAAATTTTAACGGATCATAAAGGTGTGTTAGAATACCAAAACACGGATGAAAAAAGTAACACATATTTATGGTAGTATTAATCTACAGTGATATATTATGAAATGAATACATTGTACTGATAAGACTTTAGAAGATTTGGACAACTCAGGTGATTTATGCTTAGTGTGTCACACGAACTCAACGATCTACATGTGAAAATCAATAGGTCAGCAGAAGACAGCACACTTCAAGTAAACATAGAGAAGGCAGAGATGATGGTGAAGATATCCACTGACCAACATCAACAACAACAATCACAAATCACTTATCTGGCCAGGCAGCAGCCTTTTAACTAAAGGTGGGCGGATGTTAAAACCAGAATCGGAAAGTCAAGGCGAGGGACATCTACATCACTCTGAAATTAGTCTGAAAGTCTACTCTGCACTAGGAATAAAGAAGGAGATTCTGAGTTTCAATATTAATGTCAAGCCACTCAGTGCTCTTATATATGGTTAAGAAAATTGGCCTATGCGTCACGCAAAGCATTTCCAACAGACCGCTAGAGATTTTCATCAACAGCTACCTACTTCACTGGCTCATTACCAAAGATCAGTTGGCTGACCAGAAAGGATAAGCAACAAGAAACTTTGGGAAAAACCAACCAAGAGCCTATCGCTCAACAAATATGCAGAAGGAAAAGAAGATGGGTCGGACATATGCTCAGGAGACCCACCGAGTGACAATGCGCACCAAGCCCCCCCCCCCAATGGAATTCAAGTGATAAACAAAGAGTTAGGCGTCCAAGGGTGATATGAATGAGATTGCAAGGGGAGGAGATCAGAGATTAAGGGGCAATCTTCAATCGTGAGGCCAGTCTAAGTAGGACTCCAAAGAAGAGGACAAAATGGAAACGTGCTGTTGAAGCCATATGTTCCACTCGGAACCTAAGGGAACAATAATAATGATAAGAAACGCAATATATATATGAAGGATGATTTTCAAAATGACACAAAAGTTTGAAACAAATGTATTATGCACTATTGATTGATCAATTGATCGATGAAAGGGCGTGTGTACTGCTCAGCAGTTCACTCTGCCCTCCTTCATGGCTGTCAGAGAGACATGACCATTGAAAGCGGAAGACATGAAAAAATTGACTAGCTGTCTTTGATCACAGGTGCCTTCGTTTTATCTCCTATGTGGAGTGGTATAATAGGGTGAGCAACAATGAGGTTAGGCATCAGTCGAGAGCTAGGCAGGGAGGGTAAATCAATCGACGAGATTGTGAAATTACATCGACTGTTACGCATGCCTAGTGATCCATCGCCTTCCTCGACTTCACTGTCAGCTGACTGGCATAGAATGGATCAGGTTGGAAAAGAGTTGGCCAGCGGTGGTCAAACGAAAACATGACCCCATCAGTCAAAGAAATCCACAACAGTTAGTTTAAGTCACGTAGGAAGGTGTAAACTGGCCTCCTGGTTGAAGTCGTCGGGACGGTAAAAACCAATGAAGCCTGGAGATAATTGGTGATATGGCTCAAAGTCGCTCTCAATGGCTGGCGCAGATGCATTCACTCTTTGTGATTTATAATATCCAATAAAACTATATTGTTCTTCCATATTACCATTCTTTTTTAACTCATATCTCTGTTTATATCTGTCATTTGGACCTCCCTTTACTTTCTTCTCGTGCTTTGTTTGCTAAATGAAGGGAGTGTGGCAACTCGAACTGCTGCAAAGTTCCACGATGAAACCAGTCAGTCAGTCAGTCAGGTTATCATTTCACAACAAAAGACCCTATTAAAAACTAACCTTTTTGGCAAACAGTATAGATAAGCAAATCCCGATCGGCCAAATACACTAATCACATTGGATGTAATAAAGCCTCCACCGACCAATGTATCATGTGAAGGATTTGATATAGTACAGATTGTAGAGCATGTCATTGCATTGAATAGCTGTGTAATGAGGATAACAAAGTGGCAACAAAAGAGTTAAATAAAACCCAAGGAAAAACGAAAATTTATATCTCTAATGATAGGAGAAAAGTCCCAAACTATGACGAAACAGCTGTCCAGTACTGCATGGCTTTCCAATGGTTCTTTAAATGATATCAGTTCGTGTACTACTGGAGTACTACTGGACAGCAGTTTCGTCCTAGTCTGCAACTCTTCATCAGCATTCCGCCATGACTTCACTAGTATTTGAACCCAGAGGAACTTTAGTTTGAGGTCAGACAGCTGACTGTTCAGTCAATGAGATATAATCCGATGGACCACGATAAATAGCGTCATCGACAGTCAACGCCATCTACAGTTAACATCATTTTAACATTAAAATTCATCGTAAAGAAAAGAGTTAATCAATAGCGCATACTATAAGAAACACCCCACACACACACACACACACACAAATACAAAAAAACAGTTTAACAGTAGGAGACAACAGGCTTACTTGCCAACCAGTAGAGCAAACTAACAGAATACACCGTGGTGTTTGAGGACAACAAACAACTTGAAGTACAGTTGATGGACAGTTAATAGATCTTGACTCATGTTCATATTTTGCTTCACCCTAAAGAAAAAAAGGAAGAAGGGGGCGGGGCGGGAAAGAACAATGAGAAGAATCAAGTCAGTAAATAAGCCAAAAATAGAACACAAGACATGATCACATGAAACATGCAATAAATGAGATCGCTTAAACGTCGAAAAAATCTCTTCTCTTCTTTTGAAAGTAAAACAATAGTTGAGGAAATTTAGTCACTTACCATTTTGTATCAAATGAAGAAAAAAACACAAATTAATCGACCAACAATTCCTGCTTTAGCATGTTGGTGGGAAAGTGAAGTGCGGTAGCCCAGTTATGCAACAAAGTTTGAGCCATACATGGGGAGGCAAAGTGTAGATTGCCTGACATGGGTTCACGGGATACTAGCAACCAACAGTTGTAGACTATTTAATTGGTGGACGGTGACTAGCAGTGGAATCCAGGATGCGCATTTCTTCCTATATGGAACTCGTCATCTGGATGTACCTGCATTTCTCAGTGAGTGACGATGTTTCCCCCGAGGCTTGAATCCAGTGCCCATAGTTTCAAACGCCAAAGCGCTATCCACTAGACCACTTGGACAACGACAGCCACCTCTTGTGCAACGGGTCATATTAATTATTGAATTGAATTTTTGATTTTCCCGTCGATTGATTGGACCGAAGTGCTCGGTCTCAGGTTGACATATCGGCCACTTGGGCAAATGCTTCGACAATGTCTGGGCATTTAATTAGTATTTAATTGATGGATGGTGACTAGCAGTAGAATCCAGGTGGGAACATCATCACTCACTGAGAAACGCAGGTACATCCAGGTGGCGAGCGAGTCCCAAATAGGACGAAATGTGCATCCCGGATTCTACTGCTAGTCACCATCCACCAATTAAATACTAATTAAATGCCCAGAAATCGTCGAAGCATTTGCCCAAGAAGCCGATATGTCAACCTGAGACCGAGCACCGGTCCAATCAATCGACGGGAAAATCAAAAATTCAATTAAAGTAGTAGAATGTGGTGACACAGCTCGAAGTTGTTCTCAGTGACATATAAGCATCCACTGTTTATAATCGCCCGGCTTTATTAAATTCCTAACATCTCCCATGTAAATATTCTTCCGCCCTTACTTTTCGACGTATAATTATTGAGAACCTAGCATTTTAGGTAGTACATTCGTCAAGCCTGTCTCCCCATGGAAAAAAAAGACGACAGGAATACGTTGGGGCGGAAAGAAAAATCTAGAAGACTAGGACTAATGTCACAAAAACTCGAAGACTTACAGGTGAAAACCAACAAGTTGGCAGAAGAAGCCTGCAGTGAAGACAACACTTCAAATGTACAGAGGTCATGAAGGTATACAACGAACAACAACGACAACGAATCACTATTAACAGAAGAAATCTGAAAGAGGTCACTTTCTCCGTCATTTATCTGGCCAGGCGGTATTCTTTCAACTACTGGCCGACAGGACAGATCAGGATGTCGAAACCAGATTCGTAAAAGCAAGACTGACCTTAACCACTCTGGAAAACTTCTGCACTACTCAGAACAAAGAACAAAATTCGGACTTTCATTACTAATGTTAATGACGTCATTCCTTTTGAATGGGTCAGAAACTTGACCTGTGCGTCACGAAAAGCACTTTGAACATGCTAACTTCAGAGTTTTATCAATAGTTGCCTTCGTTGCCTCCATACTCAACATCAGATGGCTAGCTGGCTGACCAGAAAGGATAAACAACAAGAACATCTGGGAACGAACTAATCACGAACGCACTATGGATTAAAATTTTTATTTTGATAAAATCACACAGTGTTGTTATACAGTAATATTTACTGAGGACGACGTTTCAAGCACAATTTATTGCCACTCATAATCATATCAAAGCACTACTCACACAACTTACTCGCTTCACTTATATACATGAGTAAAAATTAATGATTAGACATTTGAATAAAATCAATATAACACTTGCATGTAACAGAACAGACGATAAAGTACATTCGAAACGAATATTAATGCTATCAATAAACATAATATTGATGAGAATTCAATTCATTAGGAAGATAAGAAAAGGTCAAAATAAAAAATAATGGGGAAATTAATGATGATATCATAAATAAGAATGAATATAAAGAGGGAGGGGATATCTGAGACACTCCCTACGTAGGATTCTTAATATAGGCATTAGGAATTAGGGTAACATTCGGGTGGACCTACGAACTCACTCAGGGACAAGCTCTGTAGGCTAAAGACACGGTGGACCCAATTAAACAAAATAATATAATTTACAAAATACCTTGCAATGACTATGAGTTAAGTCAACTACATTGGTCAAACTAGTAGATTGGAAGTAGTGAGATTATTAGAACATAAAAATTTAGTGGCTAATGTTAGAATGATTGACCCCACAAAGATGAGTAATTTAGAAAAAGCAACTCAGAAATAGTACTGCATGCATTAACATACAACTACACAATAGAGTGGGTGGGACAGAGTCGAAATTCTAAAAGGTAATATAGGTAGGTGGAGAGAGAGAGAGAGAGATTGATTACTGAATCCTGCCTGGCTCATCGAGTTCACCACCTAACACAACACGTGCAATAGAAATGACTCAACGCAAATACCAGAGATATGGAAGATATTATTACCACCAGTCAGTCAAATCAGAGGAGGATAATAAATAATGTTAAAATGTATTCAATTCACATGATAACATTTTAACAAGTTATTTACTTATTTTGACTATAAAAACACTCGCCTTATTTCCCATCTGATTGTATTTTATTGACAACACTAATACTAATACTGATTTTATTCAAATGTCTAATCATCAATTTTTACTCATGTATATAAGCGAAGCAAGAAAGATGTGTGTGTAGTGACTTGATATAATTATGAGCAGCAATAATTTGTGCTTGAAACGTCATCTGCAGTAAGCATTACTGCATGACACTGTGTGATTTTATCCAAATAAAATCTTATTTATAATGAAATTGTACTCTACCACAGTGCCCAAATCTTATTCTTATATCAATAATCAAGAACCTTTTGCCCAAAAAAATACGTCGAAGAACATGGATATGGATCGGATACACGTTCAAGAGACTGCCAAATGACATTGCGCACTAGGCATAACCTCCAGTGGAACCGATATAAGAAACGACGACCTGGGTGTCAGAAGGTTACATGTGGAGAGGTGATTAGAGCTTATGCGGAATAATGGGACCAGCCTAAGAAGGATTGCAGAGAATAGGACAAAGGGGAGGTGTGCTGATGAAGCCCTATAATCCACTGGGAACCCAAGGGAATTATATACTTATATATGAGGTATATCTCCCTTCTTATGAAATGGAATAATCAGCGATTTACATCAATCCAAAACAGCTATCCCCAATACCTTAGTTTACCCAGACAACGGTTTGCCACAACCATCATTAAACACCTCTGGTGTCATTCCATCTAGCCTTGCTGTTTTGCATCATTTCAGATCAGAGACAGACTTTGTAATCCCAGATACGGTTGGAGAACCGAAGTCAACACCTCGTCCAAGTAGGTGTCGGACACTGAGCACGTTGAGCTTGGTTGTAGCCAAGTCAATTTGCTCCTCAAAGCATTCTTTCCAACGTTTCAGTCGTCTATCCTGAAAGCTAATTAAGACGACGCCACTGGATTTTTCTCCGAGACTGTCTCACTTAACATTTGCCTTTTACAAACTGTTCCTTTCATAAGTCTAAACAGTTGTCTATTGTTACCTATGATCGATACCTTTTCCATCTCTTTCGTTTTTGTGACTCAACACTGTTCGCAATCGCTGCGGTGACCTGTCGACCAGCTTGCGTTCACTCAGCTTTTGCTCCTCAATCATAATATTCATCAAAAGCCAAAATAAAGATAAATGACAGCAGTAACTACTTCATATAACTACTATTTTACTACGCATACAATTTTCAAGAGTTGGTTTGAAGGATTACGAGTTTGACCACGGATTAATATCATTTAGAGAACCATTAAAAACCAGCTGGAAGTACTGGACAGGTGTTTCATCCCAGTTTGGGAGTCATCGACAGTACGCACCCACCATAGTGTGGTTCGAACCCAGGACCTGCCGGTTACAAGGCAAGCTGACTCGTATACCATTCAACCACTGCGACCCGACCCGATTCAATGGCCAGTCCATGAATTCTAACTTCTACCAATTCGTGATGTATTTAGCGCGATTGGCATCAACCAATGTCATCAATGGGAAATCCATTCTCACATTTGACTGGTTCGAACCTCACTGGTCATGACTTCTCATGAAACTTCGTCCTGTAGCACAAGTCACTAGCGAGCATCAGGTGTGTATACAAGCTGATTCACGCACGTGACACAAATATGATATACATTTTTGATAATTACACATGAGTTATACCTACTGCACACACACACACAGAAGCACTTTTTTAAAAAACGGCGAATATTTCACTATGATAAGTTTTTCTATCTCATCTCACATGATTATGAATAATGTCACATAATAGAAATAAGACAGCACCGCATATATATATATATATATATATATATATGCCAGGCTTAGACAGTGAATAACAAATATTACCGACTAGAGTTGTGCTTGCATGAGTTAAATCAAAGCATCCATCATCACCTAACTTAAGAAGGACTTATACTATAGACTACATGCCCAAACACAGAGTGTGTGTGTTTGCGTTTGAAAAAAAAACACGAGAGATTGACGCTATGATAATCTTGCTCATCATATGACTTAATATATCTACAAATCAATGATCTCATCGGCATTATTTAGTAGTAGTAGTATTAGTAGAATTCAATTTAAATAGTTGTTGAAGTGGTGAATTATTCATTATATTATTGTTTCCTTTAGTTCCTAGAGGAAAATAGGGCTTCACCCTCACGTCTCCATTGCCTTCGGTTCCCTGCCAACGTTTTCATCGTCTGGTTCGATGTTTGCTTCCCATTTGAGCTCCACTCGAGCGATGGCTTGGCGTGTGATGTCACTTGATAATGGTTTGTTTACTCAGAGTATGGCCAATCCAATCCACCAACTGGATTTCTTCCTGATTATCTGTTGCACAATTGGTTCCTGCTGGGTTGAGTTGTTGGTTCATTGCCAGAGATCCCTTCCTGTTGCTGATCTTTTCTGACCGGCCATCAGAACTTCAATGGTATTGAGCGAAGACAGCTGTTGATGAAGGTCTGTAGTTTGTTCGAAGCGGCGCTAAGTCTCTGACTTTACATCGGAGTAGAAAATCCGGATTTTATTTTGATTTTCATGCTGAGTGCTGTTGATCTCCACACAGACTTGAGAGTAATAAAGACTTTCCTTGCTTTCTCGATCCTCGCTTTGATATCCTCATCAATTCCGTCCGTCTGGAGTTGAAACGATGCTTCTCAGGTAAGTAGACAGATGAAGGAGGTCGCTTCTTTCAGATTTCTCACATTTATGCTAAAGTGATGAATAGATTCTTAATTTGAATAAAGCAACAATAACAGTCTGTGTCGTCGGTGGCATAACGGTTAGGACGCTCGCCGACCATGCACATGGGACGGGGTTAGATCCCTGGCCACCGACGCACTCCTTTACCTTGCTGAGCCAGAAATAATGCTGGTAAAGGAGAAACGTTGGGCATGAAGCTAACAACCCCATCCTGTAAAATAAACACTGCTACAAAAACCTCAAGCCACCAGCTTGAAGCCCTATGTTCCCCTGGGGAACGTGAAAGAAAAAAACAATAACAGTCTGTGGAGAATAAGATGGTACCATCATTGATTTCACTGGCTTTACATCAACTGCTTATACAGCCTAAAGATATTCTGATAGGTTGACTACGCAGTCTATGGGCCTAAAGATATTATTAAGTGATTTATGTACAGATACATAGACATTCTTCAACAGCTATCTTTGTACACCATGAAAGATTCATTTGATTTTGCTGGAAGTGTGAACCATATGAACGTTTTAAATAAGTTCATGGTGTCGTTCGATGTAACCATCTTCTTCACAAGTATCCCAATCAATGAAACTAACAAGTTTCATTTGTTAGCATTCTGATCTTTTCGCACTCACAGTGTTGAAATTCAAATACCTACCTGTTAATGTGTACCGTGGATGTACAATTCCAGTTTGACAACACTCTTTACCGCCAAATACATAGTGTAACTACGGGCAGTCTAATTAACCCTATTTTAACCGACATCTCAATGTCCAACCTTGAGAGAGCTAAGTTGAAGCATGTAATCGACGAAACAACTTCTTACTGTTAATATGTAGATGACATATTTGTAGCGTGCGACAATGAAAGCCATGCTTCGTAAACTAATCGGATTATTCAACGACGCACATACAAATATTGAATTTACTATGAACACGAAAATGATGGAAGATGGTAGTTTCTAGAGGTCAATTTAACGAAAGCCGATATGGAATAGACAATACTTACATTTTAATAGTTTACGTTCAAATAGTTATAAACGAGCACTAGTCAAAACTCTATTCTATGGAGTCAGGAGAATATGCTCTACAGACAAATTAGAGGGATAATTTACGATTCTTGAAAAAATGTTGAAAAAATTCAGCAACAAGTAGAGAAGATATGAAGGTTCAAATTCAAAACAAATCACAGTAGAAAAGAAGTCTCACTCAATTTTAAAGGTGATATTTATTTAAACTTGAATTCTCTGTCAACTAACACCATGTCTGACTAACTGACCGACTCAGTTTCAACGTATGACTACTTTGCACCGATGTGCAGTAGTTTGAGTCGCCACACTCCCTCCATCTAGCTCACAAAGGAAGAGAAGAAAGTAAAAAGAAATGCAAAACAGAGACAATAAACAGAAATATGTGGCAAAAAGAATGGTAATATTGAAGATCAAAATAGTTTTATTAGAAATCATAAGCCACAAGGAGTGGATGCATCTGCACCAGCCATTGAGAACGATTTTGAGCCATATCTCAAGCCTTCATTGGTTTTTACCGTCCCAAGGACACCAACCAACCAGGAAACCGACACCTTCCTACGTGGCTTAAACTAACTGTTGTGGATTCACTGACAGATGATGAAGCGATGTTTTGGTTTGACCACCAGAAGCTAACTCTTTTCCAACCTGATCAATCTTATGTCAGCTAACATTGCCCATTGTCGAGGAAGGCGATGGCTAGGCATACGAAACATAGGTTTCAACCATCTCAGTAGATGTAACTGATACAATGTGGAAATCGAAAGTACATTAAAAAAATTTTTGTATATAAACTTAATAATATCTTTAGACTGTAAGGAGCTAGTGAGAAGCCAACGAAATAAATGATGAAGGTACCATCTTATTCTGCACAAACTGCTGTTTTTGCTTCACTCAAATTCATAAAGGGGAATAAATGTGTGAAGTAAGTGTCTGTTCAGAAGAGAATATGTGAGAATAATATTCCGATGAAACACATTGTCTGTTTCACACCACCACGCTCGTACCCTAAACTTAAGTCGGTTCGGACTACTTGGTGCTGACGTCTTCGTTTGCTTGTCTTGCTGTAGCCAGTTCCAGAGCTCGCTGACTCTCTCCCACTTCTCTATTTTTTGCATTTCTAATGGTATATACGTGACCCTGTCTCGCAATAACCATGTATAGTCCTTCCCACTTTGGAAGCAGTTTGCGTGACTCTGGCGCATATTGCCCGGTGTTTCGCCTCACAATATCATCTGCTACCTTCACCCGATCTCTCAGCAGCGTTCCAAGTAACAGTCCCTTTGCTGACAGATCTTAAACTGCGCAACAGCCTCGAAGTCCTGCAAGAATATCTATATATCCCCTTCTTCAAAACTGCAGGGTATAGGCTTTTTATTTGTCGGCGGGCAGAGACAACAAGTGTAACAGTAGGAGGCAAGAAACAGAAGCCAAGGTATATTTTTCATTAATCAAACCGCTGTTTATATATCTACAGTTTATACTTGTTAACCAATCACTGAGCGTATGATTTTGGTTTACAACAAACGACATGAAATAGAATGTTCAAATACAGATATTGTATTCTGTCGCTAATGCCGAATTGGACTGTGGGAATATTTGCTATTATTATAATTGTTCACTTGGGTTCCTGTGGAACATAGGGTTTCAACTGCACGTCTCTACTTGCTTCTATCCTCCTTCTGCTGTACTTTTCATCTGAATCCATGTTATTCCATACTGTTTCAACTCCTCTTCACACAATCTCCTCCAAGTCATCCTTACACCGACGTCCCACTCACCGCTTCCCTTTCGGCCTGGTTCCACTTGACCAATGGCCTGACGCGCGCGCGATGTCACCCGGCGGCGGCCTCCTCAGCCGCGAGTGTCCAATCCATCTCCACTTTCTCCTGCATATTTGTTGGGGGGCGGTTGGTTCTTGTTTTGCTTGTTCCTATAGTTTCTTGTTGGTGATTCCTTCCGGCCCAGCCATCTGATCTTCAGTAAAGAGCGAAGACAGTTGTTAGTTGATAAAGGTCTCCAACAGGCTGTTGGAAATATTCTTTGTGACCCGTCCGCCAAGTTTCTGATCCGTATAGAAGAATTGACTGGACGTTGTTTGTATTGAAAATCCGACCGAATTTTGTTGTTGATGCTGGCTGAGTGACGAAGATTTCCAGATTGGTTTCAGGTTGATGAATGTGTTTCTCGCCTTCACGGTCCTCGATTTGACATCCTCTGAGAAGAGTTCACCGCTGTCGTTCATCTCACCAAGGACCTCGCGACCCACGGTGAGTTCTCTTCCTGTATCTTCTCCTCCCAGTTTCGCATTCATATCACCCATCAGGATTTTGATATCACTATTTGGGACGGTGTCGATTAGTGTTTGTAGTTTTCTGTAGAGATCCTCCTTCTTCTCTTGTTCTGAGACGTTTGTAGGCGCATAGCATTGAATGATTGTAACCTTTTTTCCTTTTGAATTGAACCTGGCTATCATTATCCTGGAGGAGATTGGTTCCCACTGCATGAGAGCTTTGGCTGCTGTTGGTGACATCATGATGGCCAATCCCTCGGTATGCTCGTGGTTGTCCTCTGACTGTGAGAATATGTAAGAATAATATTCTGCTGGATCACCACACATGAAAGAGTCGTGTCTGTACAATTCATGATATCAGTAGTTCTCTAAACGAGTCCAGTTCGTAATCATACTTGTAACGCAATCTTCACCATCAAGCCCCACCTACTTACCTACCTAGCTTAGAGAACATACTCTCTCACAACACCTAAAACCCGGAGTCACACACCCCCCTTTCGTAGTATGCCTACAATACAAAAGCAGATAAGAATGATATCATCGGGCACCGATTCGACAATCACCTCCCCTCCCCACAGACACGCACACACACTAATTGTTATCAGATAACCCCTAGACAAAAACAGTACATCACAAATACAATGCTTAACTTGCCTGTATCTCTTCACCATCTAACGTCCATAATGTAGCCACATTGGAGAATGAAAGACCTAAAACTATTTCACCTAAAACAAAACCAAAAACAGAAAAAATAATACAGAAATAACACACCACACACACACGCACACACACGCAGTTTTAATAGTCATGATTTAATTTGTTGAGATTAAAGATGAAATACAAAAACTATTTTTTGTGGCATCACAATATCAGGTCATTTTTGACAGACAAACAAACTAACAAGAAGAAGAATAATCGAAAGTGATAGTTGACAATTTAACGGTGATCACCTACGGAAAACGCTTTCTTTATTGTCATTAGAACGACATGAATACAGCTTAAAAGTGTGAATATAGATGTATATGCGCCTGGACAGGGGGGTGGGGGTTGGTGGTTGGGGGTTATCAGTCAGTGTAAATGTATGTGCGTGTGTGTACATGTACATGTATGTAGCCTTTCACAAGCGCTACTGTAGAAACTCATTAGATGAGTTAACACTTATCTCTACTCGAACAGAAACATATTTACATAAAATAAGTCAATAAAAAATAGTATAGCGCATAAGTTTGAAGAGAGAAGAGAAAAACTAATTAACACTTGTTCATTTAAAAATGAATAAACATAATGAATGCAAAAATTATATATATGAAGAGTAGTAGTGCGTCGTCAGTATTCCAGATGAAGAACGCTAGCCATCGAATTCCACAAACTCGCGTCTAATTGTTAATTTCAGCTTAAGATGTAAAAGACAGTTAAAAGAAGTTGTCGATTCTCATAACAGTTGTAAGATTGACGATAATGATATTGGAATTAAATCAAAAATCAAGTATCTTGGACTTATTCTCTCTTCTGATCTCTCCTGTTCTTCTAATTTCTTAGCTATCTACAGTAAAATATTCCGCCTGGAATTTTACATTAAGAAGTTAAGGCACTTGGGTAAACACTCAACCCGCCCACCTCCTCTTACAGTTCATAAATTCTTGCTTTCGTCCTACCTATTCTTCTTTATCGTTCACCCTTCTTCTTTCCTTGTTTGCTTAAAAAAGACTATGTCACAATTCGTAGAATACTGAAGATGGTCAGAAGGGTGAGTGGTGTCCCAGTAGACCACATAGTTAACGTCGTCGATAGGCACTTGACTTCGTGCAGTAAATTTGCTATAGGGATTTTGTCTGATTTAGAGCATCCACTTTACCCTCAGCTTTCATCTTGCATCTCCTCAGGTAGAACAAGAAGTAACTTTAGAAAACTGTATGATCGCACGTCTAAGTATAAAAATTCTATGATGCCATACTTGGCACGTATTTTATGTGATGAAAATAGTGTCAGGCAAGAATTAACTAACCAAACTTTTTTCATCCAGTAAATAAACAATTTCTTCCATCCATCCATCCTTATATACCTTCAAGTTTTACTTTTATTATTTCTATTATAATTATGGTCCTGTTAATTCTCTGTTTTACTCTCATAATTGCAAACACCAACTTATTTCTATGACTGCTGTAATCTTTGTTTTTCCCCTCACCATATCATGTAAAGAGAACATTATATTCAATATTTTTAAGCATGTTAGGATTCCCAAACCACATTGCCTCCAAAGCCTCAGGATGGTCGGGGGTGGGTGTTTTGCGCTGCGGGTTGGCCACCCCTCCGTACACCTCTTGAAATGCTCCCATATGACTGAGCGTCTTACATAGCCTCTCCTGAGGAAGTCCTACTCACTGCCTTCACGTGGCGGAGGTGTTTTTTTCACCGAAGTGAGAGGGCGAAAGCAGATGCCCGGCGCTCTTCACCGGGTTGACTGTCCATTGGATGACAGTCTAGGGGAGATGGCTAAACCCTGATTCCGAACCTCCAACAACTGGCGTATGAAGCTCACCGGAGCTCATCGGCAGACGTATGGACAAAGGGCTTATTGGATGCCCTGGATGACTGGCCCCATTCAAAAAGGCGTATGAACCGGACTCCGGTCACCGGCTGCCAATGGATAGTGGACTCCCTACTCCACTCCTACTGCCTTGTAGGTCACACTTGGTTGTGTAAAGGCTAGAGCTGCACTCTCAAACAAAAGGCCGAGCGATGCTGGGGACATCACTCGTACCCAATTCCCATGAAACTTCATGGTTCATGAAGCCGGCTCATCCTCCCGTAGGAGATAGCCGAAGTAAACAAAAGAAAACAAAAAACTATACCACACTGCCAATACTGTGTGAAACAAGCCCATAGCAATTTTCACTTGTATTATTATTACTACCTTAGCTGTTATCATTACTATTATTTCCATTTTATATGCTGCATATTTTTGACATTACCCCCATTTTAAATGTGGAAAATTTTCTGTGTGATTAATTTTTATTTATAATTTGAGGAAATTAGATGCAATATTGTGATTAGTGTTGAAAATTCCATTCTGTATCACAAGTACTGTTTTTGGAATAAAGTAAATCATTACTATTATTATTATTATTAATTCCATGGGAAACGTGGGCTGGGGGGGCGTTGGCAGCTTCCCCTCGTGTCAAAAGACAACACACTACCACTACTGAAACTTCAAAACTTAAAGCTATGAATGTGGAACGCGGAGGAATGAATATATATGTATATAAAGTGTTTATTTCCTACGGGATTGTCTGTCTGTCTGTATTCAACATAGAACTTCGCACCGAAGTGCACCAGTTCGAGTTGCCACGTTCCAAATAGCACACAAACGTAGACAAGAAGATGAGTGAAGAGAATCTATAGAGTTTGACAAGTATAAGAGTGAAACAGAATGGGTAATGGTAGGAAGGAATATGAAAGATTACAGAGACTGAATACATCTGCGCTGGCCATGACAACGATTTTGAGTCATGTCATCTATTGTCTCCAGCCATTGATTCATAGAGTCAGTCCCGAGGGCCCCAACCCGAAGTCTGCACCTCCCTCACTACCTGACTCAGTTTAACTGTCAAGGATTTCATGGATTGATGAGGCCATGTTTTTGTTTGGCCACCACTTACTCTTTACCAACCTGCACCTATATCAGCTAGTAATGCCCGTCGGGGGAGGCGGTGGTTAGGCATGCGTCAGGACAGCAACCCAACCCCGTAGGGTTGGGTTGCTGTCCTGACGCCCTCAGCCTTTCCCGGCCCCATACCTCTCTACCGGGCTTACTTACGACTAAACGAGGTTCAGGAGTTAGTCGGCCGGGAATCGAACCCTGGACCACATGTGGTGTGTGGCTGATGAATATCCTATCACTGAACCACCCCTATAGAATGGTATAACTAAGAAACACTGTAGTCCTACTCATTTGAACACATGTCTGACAGGTTTAGCTCTATCCCTTCCAAAGCGATGATATCAATGAGCATTCACTGCACAATCGACTTGGTCAACTCAATTGGACGCTAATTCCATCCTATGGTCACTAGGGAACTGGAAATTGATATTCAGATCATGAATCATTGAACTGCTATCTAAAACGACTGAATGGTCAACGACCTAGACCTACGTAACGTGAAAGAGGACTTAGGTTCTGTTGTTATTGATTTGTTGGTTTTTGTCAATCTTGGCTAGAATTAACCCCCCAGACAACTGATCACTTGAAAATATCCCCCCCCCCACAGTGAGATACACACACAAGTCAGATTTAACCGAGACAACCACGACGACAACAACAACCTTTCACGATATAGGGCAACCGCTAGTCAACATCTTCGGCGAGTATTTGTCCTCCAACCCGACCTGCTGCACCCTACTGGTCACGACTTTTCACTGGAACCCCAGGTAACTACCTACCTGAATAGGGCGGCCAGTCGCCAGTGAGTATGTCACTGATATTCAAGTATTGGTTTGTAGGGTTCAAACCCCGGTGGGTGCGTACCGTTGAAGAGTCCAAACTAGGTTGACGAAACAGCTGTCCAGTACTCTCAAGTGGTTTTCTAATGGTTCTCTAACCAATGTCAACTCATGATGAAATCCCGTAACCAATCAACCAAATCTCTACAAACCAATACTTGAATAACAACCTTTATTCCACACAATACAGAGTGTACATCGTCTATACATCAAAGGAAATTTTTGAACTATAAACAAATGATCAATATTTGATTGATGGTGATTGCATCAATCATGACTTCATGGTTGACAATTATAGTTATTAGTTTGTCTTAACAGACTCAATCCCTGGATGGGTGGGGGGTGGAGAGGGGGTGAGACAGCTACACATTGCTGAAAAATCCCAAAAACTAAGACGAAACAGCTTTTCAGTACTTTCTTTTTAATTTCCAATCATTCTCCATACTGATTTTGATTCATGATGAAATCTACATTGAAACAATATCAGCCTTTTTAATGAAACCGAAAGAATGAGGTAGTAGTAACTAATAAGTTACAGAGTCTTTGAGGACAGTATTTTAATTCTCACAGTTTCTACCCTGTTCGGTACATAAGAGCCTTAGTGAGGTGTCCCTTCAATAGAATCCAACGAATATGCACTGGAGATACACCCGATAAGAAAGAAAGAAACTTGACACAAATAATTATCCAGACAAGTTTATTAGGAGATATAAAGTAGTCAGAACACCAAGACCCACTCTCCAGCTCGCCGTTTAGAAAGACGTGTATATCAAGCTATCCTAAGCATGGGTGATCACAGCAGCTTGACAACCAGACAAACATTGAACGCTGTGGTTAAAAAGACTTTTTATGCAGCTAAGTTTCAGATAATTGAGAATGTGAAGCGGATATATCCATCTAGGCCGTTAGAACATATGAAAAGTGGTGTCTAACAATTTGAATATACATGTGGTCACACTTAAATACGAAGGATTCATCTATCTTTGCAAGTACGGTTTCAGAAACCAATTGAATCCAATTAACCCATCAATTGTGGAAAAAGACGAACTAGTTCTTCTATTGAGAAACATATTATAGAGACAAGACAGGGAATTGATGTTTACTCCTCATTTACACCCTATCTATCTATCTATCTATAAAACGTGTTTGGGGCGTATCCTAACGTTTGTGAAGGCCTGTATGTTTGTCAAAAATAATCATCGTCACACTAAACCTTCCTTGGTAA